GAGTGCTCTGGATTTGAGCAAGAACACTACATATCATTCACGCACTAAGCACATTGATATTCGTTATCACTGGATTAGAGACGCTATCGAGAACAAGTTGCTACAGCTAAAGAAGATTCATACCGATAATAATTCTTCAGACATGTTGACAAAGGTAGTCACAAAATCAAAGTTGGAATTCTGCATTAAGGCTGCTGGGATGAACTCCAGGTAACTTGGAGTCATGATCGGAATTCCTCCCTCATGGACTGGAGGGGGAGATTGTTGGTATATGGTCCAGCCCATGATCAATGTTCTAGATTATTCTAGTAAGCAAGAGATGAGGCTGGAGCTTGCTAGACAATTCTAGCATGTTATTAAGTTGATGGAAGAAGCTAGAGAGTACTAGCTTCCTTGGTTGCAAATGGAAAGATCTAGAAGCTACAAGTATGTGGCTAGTCTAGATTTTTCTATACTAGAGGTTTGAAGAAGGAACTAGAAACTAGTAGAATGCCAAGCCCTCACCTATAAATATGGGTGTGATGTAACCAATTGAGAACCAAGAGTGAGTAGCAAAGGATCAAGTCCAAAGCTAGAGTTCCACTCCAAGAGTGAGAGTGAGAGTGTTCCACTACACATTGTGTGAGTGAAGTTTAGAGTGATAGAAAGTGTGTGTTATACTTTCTTGTATCCATCAAGCCTTGTCTTTGGCTTGGTAAGACTACTCTTGTTGTATTCATCTTTTTCATATAGTGAAGATTCCTTGTTTGGTGGACGTAGGCATAAATTGCCGAACCACATAAATTCTTGGCGTCCATTTTCTACTTTACCTTGTGCATTCTCTATCTTGTAGTACCGACATTCCTAACAAAAGAGAGGGGATTGAGCGGTGATGCTTTCTTTGGGGAGAGAGGGAGAGCGCGATTTGGAGTTTAGGTGAAAACAAAGCGGCGTCGAACCGAAGCTGACGGCGGGAGAGAGGGCGGGTTGTTGCATCCGTGTTATTCAGAGTGGGTTTTGAGAGAGTGAGAGTGCTGCGTTCTAAGGTTTGAGAGTGGGTTTCGAGAAAGTGAGCGGCTGCGTTCTAGAGTTTGCACAGGGTGAATGTGGGTGCACGATTTGGGGGATTGTATCTGTCCCACTCTCTCTTCCTCCGTCCATGACATCCACGATAAAACCTAGGTGCTCCTCTTCTATCTGAAAAACCCGAGAGGCTCTCTCTCATTTTTCTGCTATCCTAGCCAAACCCAAAGATCAAGCCTAGATTTCAACCGTACCCTTATTTATGTAATCTCCATTGAGATTGTTTTTTCTTCTGGATTCTCAACTGCAGACTGCTCTGCATGCTCAGCACAAATCCAAGGCATTCACCAAGCCTGTTGTTTGCAGTGTATATGTTCAGTGATTTTCTGAAGAGTAAAAACGTTTTAGATTTGAATATGCGGCAATTGATGCTCCAGGAGGATTCCTCTTCAATGGTGGTGCTCTGTCTTTGCATCTGAATATTTTTGTACCGTAAAAAAGTTAGGGTCTGGGTCTGGGTCTTCCAATACCAGCGAGCTGTTTCTGTACAAACGCCGGCGCACCGTGCCGTCGACCACAATCCTCTCTGTATTCGAGAAATGAATGCTGCATATAGTAATGAAATTTAAGACATTTCTGTGATAGTAATGAGATGAATGCTAAGATGGATGACTAAATGTGCTACGGGAAGAGATTGCTTATTTTGTTAGTTAGGGGAAAATTATTCAAGTAGAAATGATTTTGTTGAGCCGGCTGCTCTTGATTGCTGGCCATGATAGATTCTGGATTCTTTCAGCACATCCTGAAATGAACCTCTTGGCTGCTGGCCATGATGGTGGCATGATTGTCTTTAAATTGGAGAGGGAGCGTCCTGCCTTTTCTGTTAGCGGTGATTCAATGCACTATGATTATCCCTATTCGAAGGCGTGGTTCTTCCAACTTGAATCAAGGGGCAAAGACACTATCTTACAGCCCTACAGAAAATGCTGCTTTGATATGTTCAGATATGGAAGGGGGGTCTTATGAACTATACGTTATACCCAAAGATAGCTTTGGTCGGGGTGATACTGCGCAGGAGGCAAAAAGAGGTATCGGAGGCCCAGCTGTGTTCGTGGCTCGAAATAGGTTTGCAGTGCTTGAAAAGAGCACCAACCAAGTTATAGCTAAAAATCTGAAAAATGAGATTGTCAAGAAGAGTGCCCTACCTATTGTTGCTGATGCAATATTTTATGCTGGAACTGGAAACTTGCTCTGCAAGGCAGAGGACAGAGTCATTATTTTTTACCTGCAGCAGAGAATTATTGTTGGGGAGCTAGGGATGACAATGGCGTCTTCATATATACAACCTTGAACCACATCAAATACTGCCTTCCTAATGGGGATAGTAGAATCATCAGGACCCTCGACGTTCCCGTATATATAACCAAAGTGTATGGAAAACCCATACATTGCTTGGATCGAGATGGGAAGAACCGTGCCATTGTTGTTGATGCAACAGAATATGTTTTCAAGTTATCCTTACTGAAGAAGAGGTATGACCAGGTTATGAGCATGATAAGGAGTTCTGAGCTCTGTGGCCAGGCCATGATTGCATATCTACAGCAGAAAGGTTTCCCTGAGGTTGCCCTTCATTTTGTGAAGGATGAGAGGACTCGCTTCAACTTGGCACTAGGGAGCGGGAACATCCAGATTGCTGTTGCTTCTGCCAAGGAGATTGATGAGAAAGATCACTGGTATCGATTGGGAGTGGAGGCCCTTCGTCAGGGTAATGCAAATTCATGGGCTCCATGATATTGCCGAACGTTTGGCGGCTGAACTGGGAGATAATGTTCCTGTTTTACCCAAGGTGAAATCTCCGTCTCTATTGTTACCACCAATGCCAATCATCTGCGGAGGAGATTGGCCCTTGTTGACGGTCATGAGAGGAATATTTGAGGGTGGTCTTGATAATGTGGGCAAGAATATTGAGGAAGATTATGGAGAGGCTGCAGATGCTGATTGGGGAGAGGAGTTGAATCTTGTTGACGTGGACAATATTCCAAATGGAGACATCAGTGCAGTGCTGGATGATGAGGAAGCACACGAGGAAAATGAGGAGGGAGGATGAGATCTTGAACTTCCACCTGAGATTGATACTCCAAAAACTGCGAGCAATGCCCGTTCTTCTGTGTTTGTTGCCCCAACTCCAGGTATGCCTGTAAGCCAAATCTGGTCACAGAAATCATCTCTTGTTGCTGAACATGCTGCTGCTGGGAATTTCGATATTGCAATGCGTTTGTTGAGCAGGGAGCTGGGTGTAAAGAACTTTGATCCCTTGAGACAATTATTTCTCGATTTACACATGGGCAGTCATACGTATCTAATGTTAGGGGTCCTGCTGCTCTTGTATTTAAATTCTCAGAGCTAGAAGAGAAGCTTAAGGCGGGTTACAAGGCCACAACCCAAGGGAAATTTGCTGATGCTTTACGTCTTCTCCTTGGTATTCTGTATACTATTCCTCTGATCGTAGTTGATTCAAAGAGAGAGGTTGATGAAGTAAAAGAATTAATTATCATTGTAAAGGAGTATGTGCTGGGTTTGAAGATGGAGATTAAGAGGAAGGAACTTAAAGGCGATCCTGTTTGCCAACAGGAGCTAGCGGCTTACTTCACCCACTGCAACCTTCAGATGCCTCACTTGAGACTTGCATTACTAAATGCCATGAGTGTTTGCTATAAGGCTGGTAATCTCAACACGGCAGCTAACTTTGCCAGGCGACTTTTGGAGACCAACCCCACTGTTGAAAACCATGCAAAGACTGCAAGACAAATCCTGCAAGCTGCCGAAAAGAACATGACTGATGCAACCCAGCTAAACTATGATTTCAGAAACCCATTTGTGGTTTGTGGGGCAACATACGTGTCTATTTACCGTGGACAGAAGGATGTGTCATGCCCGTACTGCAGTTCTCGGTTAGTTCCCGACCAGGAAGGGAAGCTCTGTACTGTTTGTGATCTTTCAGTGGTTGGATCAGATGCGTCTGGTTTGCTCTGTTCTCCTACCCAGATAAGATGATCTCCTGCTGCTCAAGTGGGAGCAATTTTTTCAACCTTCAAGTACGACAACGGTTATGTGGATTGTCTCATCTCCTTGAGCAGGGTTTCTATGTTAAAGATCGCGATTTAATTAGGTTGTGCTTCTCTTGTATTTGTATTTCAAATTTTATTTCAAGGTACGTGGTCATTTCGCTGTAAGAACAGGTTGACCATTTTGGTCTAGGTGATTCTTGTGACATCTGAAAATAAACAAATTAGATTGAGTTGGCAAATTACTTGATTTTCCTGATATTTGTAACTTTGAAATTTCATATATTGTAGACACCATTTTCGTGTTAAAACTCGTTTTTGAATTCCATCTGAGGAATGTCAATCTGCCTGGGATTTTGAATATGTTGTGTTAGCAATGTATCTCATTTCTCGTGTGCCTGAGTGACTTTCTGCTAATTATATTCACATCTCGGTGTATGATTGCCATGGAGGTGGAGTGCAAGTACGCCAGTGCTCCGGCGGACTCTGCTGCGATCTTCAGTCATAACTCCCATGAAAGCGATGATTCTTTGCTCTTTATGCTATGAAGATGATAAAAAAGAGTTGCCCTGGTGATGAACTCGTAAACTGGTAATGGCACCGGTGTCTCTAAACAGCAACCCAATAGCTTCACCATATTTCTATGGCTGTGAGAAAGAACGATAACTTCATTGATAAACTGCTCATTTGGGTTGAAGCTCCAATTTTCGACTTTTTTATGGCAACCACTTCATTAAGTTCTTCTGCTCTCATGGTGGCAGTCTGTGGCCTTCTCAAGTTCTTCTGCTGTAAAGATTGTTGTTGTCTCCGTCGATCCCTCCTCGTTGACTCGCTAGTCGTTGTTGAAACAAGAAGCCACCATTTACTTACTTTGGTATCAGATAATAAAAAAAACACTTAAAAAGCCGTTCAAAGGAAGAAAAAAATCACTTCTGCACTCAACTGTTCTTACACTTACCTATTATTTCACTGAATTTAGTAGTTGACTAGAAACGCTGCCCGCGCGATGCTGCGAGGGTTTAAAAATTGTATAAACTATGTAGATAGTTTTACATATATTTTTACGTGCATGTAAAAATATATTTACAACCCAAGTCTTCAATTTCTTTTTCACGGTGAAGTCCTCAGTGTCTTCAAAACCTTGAATAAAAGGCACCAGAATACTGCTTACAAAGAACTTATAAATATGAGGAAATTTGCAAATTAGCTAAACAATGCTATTATTTATCCAATCAAAGCCAAATTGAAATGATGCAGAACTAACACTACAAAAGTCGTGAAAGAAACTAAACTATGGGTAGAATGTTTCTAAAATTTATATTTTATACAAAAATTAATCTTCTAAAAAAAGCAAAAAACACAAATTTGAAAGGAGAAAATATATAAAATTTGGGTAAAAGGTCACAAACACCGAAGTCATTTAATATGCATGGATTATATATGCCAAAAATTAGATGATGAACTACACTAATTGATAACCGTTGGATCGTCATTGTAAAGGACCAATGAATATTTGTTTCATGTATGTGCGTAGATATAGAGACTAATCCAAAATTAAGACATGTACGAAATATTTGAGCTTTACGTGATTACCGAAGAAACAAAGGGCTCAAATATAGGATTTGAAATCAGGTATGAACTCATATTTGAACTTGAATTTGATCGATGCCTGCTACCTCTTCCTTTGTGCTCTAAGCTGGCAATTAAAGAAAATACTATAAATTTTGAGACACGCAATTCAAATTCTAAACAAAAGACTAAACTTTCAAACATGCAATCCGTTTGACAACAACAACAAAGCATTTTCCCACTAAGTGGGGTCGACTGTATGAATCCTAAAACTTCATTCCACGCCTTTTCCCACATGCAATCCGTTCGACGAAAAAAAAATACATGCAATCCGAAATTAAGCTTTACAAGAGTAATATTGTAAACTTATGGAGGTTGGAAAGACTAATTCTGAAATGATTTACCAAATATATTATCACCCAATTAAACCAAACATTGTTTGTAAACAAAGTATGCAATGCAGGTAAGCTTGCACAAAACCTACCAAAAGCAGCAAGATGTCATTTAGTTCTGAAATAATAAAACTACAATACATAAAAATAACTTATTGAAGACCCATATCTATTTATTTCACCCAAAAAAATTGTGAGCAAAAAATTCCCTAAAATATCATGCTCTAACATGATGGGCAAAATTAATTGATGTAAAAAAAAAACCCTAAAACTTGAGAATTGGGTTTGTGGATATTACTGATGAAACAGAGAAGTACTGGGCAAACTTCTATGCTCCTCTTTTTCTTTCTCTAACTGAAATTGAGTAAATAAGTGTAAAAAATGAACAACATTGCAAGAGAATACAATAATTTATGATGAAAATCTACAATTACCAATCAAAATTATATAGGGGAAAGAAACCGTACCAAATTTGAGGCACAAATGATCAAAATCTGAAGCCCTTCATTTCTCAGTTTTTTTTTCCAGCAACCAAATAAACTTTAAAAAGAACCTGTAGAATCCAGAGCAAGCATTAAAGAAAGTCAACAATGTAGGGCATAAATGTTCGCCGTAATAAGAAAGAAAAGATGTTTTCCTAGCTATATTTCAGGGTAATCTAAAAATGTATTCCTCCTTGATATGAACAATATATAGTAATAGCTTGTCATTAGTTTAACAATCTATAGGTTTCAACAAAATTAAAATCATAACCTATGTGGAAAATGCTGAAAATTATGTGTAAACCAACACCAAGTTAAAATGACATTAAACTAAATGGAAATATTATTCTGCCTTTTTTACAAATTGAAAACATTGCACTTATGAATTCCGAGCAAAAAAAAAAAAAAAATCGAATTGCATATAGAAAATTTATAATTTGAAAAAACGGAATAACATTGGTATTGCTTGGGGAATTTGGAAGAAACAATGGAAAGGTATGAGTGCTGAGTTCAGCCTGCTTTTGGTACCCTTAGAGGAAAAGCAATTAATTCGATAACCATTAAGTTGAAAAGAAGAAATTGTAATGAAATTGGGCTCTCCGCTCCAAGTCATTGAATAGTTACTATTCTTTCCTCCGGGGACTCCACCAAGAGGTTCTTTGAGAAAAAGTCTCCCCACCTCACCTGCATCCAACTACATCCTTATCCGGATTAACCATTATGTTGAAAAAGAAGAAATTATAATTACTTTAGTCTAAAGAAAGCATTGCAATTGGCATTGTTCCTTACTGTTCATTGCACCTGAATTTCAGTTTAATTACATCTATACCATTGGTTTAATGAGTGGGCTTTGTGGAAGTTTTGGGTTCGGCTTGGGGGATTGTTTTTTGGGTTTGGGCAGATGGCCTTTTGCTGGTTTGGCCTATGGATGGGTTTTATTTGGTTGGTTTCGGTAGGGATAGGAAAGCGGTGAGGTGAATGCCGTGAGTCATCCAGTGTAGCTTGCAGAATGGCAGGGAGTAGAGTAGAGATGGAAGAGTCGTGGGTGAGAGAAGAGGAGAGAGGGAAGAGTCGTGCGTTTCAAACGGGATGTGAGGAAAGACGGGAGGAGAGAGAGAGAGGGGTAGGATGAGCGAATCAAGGGTAGGGGTGCCTGAGAGTTTGGTTTGAAGGGTCGACAACAAAGGGTGCGGAGAGAGACGGCGAGGCAAGTTGGGAAGGCTAGGGGTAGGGTTCCTTTCGGGATTTTGGTTCCAGCTGGATGCCATTTCTTCAACAATTAATGGGGAAGGCATGGTTGCATGCAGTTTTTGGGGTTGTGGGAGACATTTATGGATTTTGTCCAATGTTTTTAAAGAAGGATAGAGAGTGAGAGAGAGAGGGCAGAAAGCATGATTTGATTGAGTGGCAGGGATATTTAGAGGTTTTGTACTCTGATTCAATAGCTCAAACACTGTTTTTCAGTCATTGTTTATTGTTTGGTTTGTCATTTGCTTTGTTAAAACTATGATTAACATTTTATTGTTTCGATTAAGTTGTAAAGGAATTTTATAGCCCGTTTAGTTGGGTGTTAGGAAGATCAATCTGGTTAGTGCACTGTTTCGTGCACTGTTAGAGTCAGGTTTGTGTCTTTATAACTTTGGTAGTTACACTGTGCTCATTTCTCTGTTTCTTCATGCTTTGCTCCTGTTTCCTTCTCAACAAATCAAACTGAGGTTCCTTTCTGCTTTACATCCTTTGAATATCTCTCTGTTACTAGGTTGTTTCTCCATACTTTGTTGCTTCTATATTTTTGTGATAAGGGTGTTAGAAGGCTGTTTTAGTTGTTGTTTTGCTCCTCTGTTGATAGATTGTTTTTGCAAATCTTGGTTGCTTATGTATTTCTGTTACTAGATTGTTTCTCCATACTTTGTTGCTTCTGTATTTATGTGATAAGGGTGTTAGAAGGCTCTTTTAGTTATTGTTTTGCTCATCTGTTGTCGTGTTTAATTTTGTTTTGTTTTGTTTTTTGCTTTAGGAAATCGTGGTTCTTCAGATTTGGGCATTTTGTTTGCAGCCTTCAAAGCACTGTGTATTTAAGGTGAGCAAATTCAAGATTTTAGAGTTTTGATTTAGAGACGATGCCTGATAAATTTGGTAGGAAATTTGAGATAATACTAGGAAAGTTTTGCTCTTTTCTAAACTAGGTTGTTGGATTCTTTTATCTGGGAACATTTTAGATTGAAAACTGTAACTTTGTGCGAGGTTTCATGAAATATAGGAAGTGTGCTTCCTCACTTTATGTTTCTATATTCTTGCGTTTTTTCCATTACAGTATTGAACTCAGTGAAATGCTATTATGAATTGGAGTGGTTCCTATTGTCTTTGAGTGATTCTTATCACAACAATCAGGGAGAAAATCCCTCTCTTTTTTTTAATAATTTTTACTCTAGGCCTACGATTATCTAAATGATGCAGCACTGAACAAGAGTTAGGCCTTCAACTTAGCGTCGCAAAAACTTACTACCAATAGAGAGTTTGTAAGCACTTATGTTCCGACTCAGATCCTTACCGATATTTTGTGAATGTTGAAACGATATAGCACTAGGCCCAAGGTTGAGAACAAGTTAGATTTTTTTATTTTTTTTGTGTGATTAACGTATTTCTAAAACTTGATTGCATGGCATAATCTATAAAACTAAAACTTGGTTCCATGACATAACCTCTCCGACAACAAAGTCATGCTTGAAAGTTTGCATGTACTGGCAACCCTTAATCCTTATCCATACTAAATTAATAATCACAAAAATAATTTTGTATTCAATTAACATAGTCGTGGTGAAATGTACTTTCATCTTTCTGTTCAATGAAAGAAAACCTTTTCAAAAGGGTTTTCTTTTGTTTTTCTCACACACCAAACGCTGCATTTGTGCATGTAATGAACTCATGTATGGAAATTGAAACAAGATGTCATATATGATTCGAACGTTGATTCAAGCTGTTGAGCTTTGGATTCTGGGTGATGATGGTTAATATGATTTTGTTTTCGATTTCAGGAGATTGGGTTTTTCGAGTTGGTGACTTTTCTTTGAAGCCTACGAAGACCTCTGTGTTTATGGTTAGTGGTTTTGATCTTCCATGGTTTTGATTCTACTTGCAGCCTGAGGTGTAACTTTAGATATGAGACTTTCAAGCTTTTTCATTAATCTTAACCTTGATTAGTTAACTATAATTAAATTAATTTTTTTTTATTTTGACCCCAACATTCAATTTTATTAATTCAATTTTGATAAATGATTGAAAATTTTTCAATGATTGTATTACCGTGTTTGATTATTGATTGAGCAGTTGGATATATTTTCTTGCTTAAGTTTTTCTTAGGTGTGTGCTAAATTGGATGTTGGTTTGGTTATTTCCGAGCTTTCACATGACTTCAGATACCCAATAGAGTATGAACACCCCAACTTTAATTTTGCACGTTTTTGGTGCCTGCAAATGAAATCTGGCATAGCGAAATCTTGCATAGTGAAATTATGATAACTTTCCCTTCATCTTTAGATTAGCAAACAGAAGAATGAATTCAGAACAGTAGGATTTCGATTTCTTTTTCTTTACTCATTTGATTCGCTGGGTTTACAGATTTTAAAGGTTCAACATCCACCCGATGTCCATTTCTGAAATACATTAATTTTGCTTTTTATTTTTCTGGGTATACATTATCTGTGAAACTTTGGTCTTGATTTGACTTTTTGAAAGAAGAAAAGAAAAGGATAACTGAGAGATTGGTTTTTTTAAGAAAACCCATTTGGATATGGAATAGGATCATTTGACTAGGCCTAAGAGTCATACGACCAGGGTTTGTTTTCGTTGATTTTCTGTAGGGGGATTGGTTTTTTTACCTGGAACTGCTGAAAAGAATAGAATTCGGCTGTGTATATGTGTATGGTTTTATGCGTTTCGCTCAGTTGACAATTTGATAATGGCTGAAGTGCATTCTTTAGTGAAATGTGTTTTCTTTCCTCGATTGTAAATATCTTTTTTGGTATTTTGCAAATCGAAACAAAGTGAAAGCTTTAGCCTCTGAATTTTGCAACCGCTACCTTGCTGCTTTGGTAAAGTCTCAACTTCTTTATAATATCAATTAATTTTCGCTGTAATGTTAGGGTATTGAGTAGAATTCATATGCTACATAGAACATATGAGTAGACGTAGCAGCACACTTAATATCATATTGCATTTGCAAATGAAAATGATTTTAGCCATGTTAATAAACAGTGAATTAAGAGAAGATCAAGGCTAGGTTTGAGGTAAGTAAAACCTTGAGGCCAGAGTTTGCTCGAATATTATCTTAAGCATCTCAAGTGAACGCTTCACTACACACACATACACACACACACTCACCAGTCGTCACATACTTTGGGTTGTACCTGTAAGAGGACTAATATTCCCCATCTTGATCATAGAATTAGCAACATCAGCAAAGAACAAATTAGGATTTGTGTTATAGCTTTGGACCAAACTGATTTTTTGAGTTGTTCAAGTGGTTTTTTTTCCCAATTGTTACAATTAGCTAATGCATTACTATGTAATCTGTGTTGACAGGTGAAAAAAAACTTTCGTTGGTTTGAAATATTTGTTCAAGTTTTCATTTAATTTTATATTATTTTTAACTCCATTTCTCCTAAGAGATTTATACAAGTATAAAATAAGAAACTATTATCGTTTTTCTGGTTGCAAAATATATAGTTGCAGTGGTTAATTGTGATGTGGAAATGAGAGTTTTTGAAATTTAATTTCCACTTTCATTCTATTATTTCGAGATTTTAGAAGGTGGGTGTGGTTTAGGGTTAGAGTTTGGAATTCTGTGCAAATTCATTGAAGTTGTTGGTTATGCAGATGGTGGTGTGTGTATACAAATGATATGCGTCTATTCTTTTGCTTATATTTAAATCACATTTGAATCAAGCCTTTCATATGTCACCTGAACTTAATATGGTCTTTTCCCATTCTTTCCGTTTCAGACTTCTTATCTTTATGATTCTTTTTTAATTAACTGTTTGGTTCGATCGCTTTATGTTATTTGTCTGCTGTCTGCTTTGCTCTCATTCTTGGTTGTCTTTGTAATCCTCTCATTGTCCAGAGGTTGGATGGTTTGTTTGTTTTTTTTAAAATTTTGTTTGTACAATTCAGTCTGTGATTCTGTTATTGGTTGGTTGGTGTTTTCGTTAGGTTTTCTAATAGTGAACTATCTCATCCTCCCGAAGTTCTTTAACATGTGCTGTTCACAACTGCGCTCTCTCAACGAACTAGACATTTTTAAAAAAAAAATTCACAACTTCTATACTTAGGAAAATGAGTAACCTTTTAACAATGCATGAATGCAACTAAGATGTTCAGAAAAATTCATGGATATTAACATTAAAACTACAAGTATCATTAACTCATTAATACTTAAGTTATGTATTTTCTTTATCGGCTACAACTTCAAAATTTGATCTAAAACAATGTCAAAATGCTTTTTGACTGTGTTTTTTTTTAATTTATATGTAACTTTTGGTAATCTTATATTTTTACTTTATTAATGTGAGTTGTTAAGTTTTTCATGGTGTTATTCTTCAACTCACAAGCTTAAAGATACTTAAAAAAAACAGAAATTTTGACGCTATATTTAAATTTTGATTCAGGGTAAATAAAATGGTACAAGAGATCAATCGAAGAGAACAACAGATTCTAGGAGGAGTTTTTGCCAAAAATTTAAGGCAACTGGTTAAGGCTCGAATCGATGAACAAAATTGAGGGACATTAGTGAGATTTTCTGACACTGCCCCGGGACCTGGTACAAAGAAATCAGTGAAAATAGCAAAAACAAGGATGGGTTTGCGTGTTTATGGTAGGGGTGCAAACCGAAACAAATTGGTGGTCCATACTATGTATCCACCTGCAAATCGTAGTAATCCGCCGAAAGAAAAAGTTCCGCTCGATAAAACACTTTCACAACGCTTTTTGGGGTTTTCCAATGGCATCCACAGGTTTGCTAGCTGGAAAAAGGTTGGAGTTTTGTTGCTCTTGCTTGCCTCCGCCGCAACGGCCTTTGGAGTTTTAAATGTCTAGAGAAGGGGTGGGTCTTTAGATAAGATAAGGGCAATGTAAACTTTTTTTGTTCGGTCATAAGGGCAATAATGTAAACAGATAAGCCTTTAACCGTTTTAAGGATAAACTGTTGTTAATACTCTTTTTTGCACCTTTTTGGTCAACTTCTATCTTGCTGATAAATGTATTTTGCTGACCGTTATATTCTTTTAAGGATAAACTGTTATTCATAGTCTTTTTTGCACCTTTTTGGTAGACTTCTATCTCACTGATAAATGATTTTTCCTAGCAATGACCTTATCGTGCTGGGATTTGTTTTCTCTCCTTTTATTTTTTATGCCATTTATGTTGTTGTTGATAGGATCTTTTAGCTGATGCTTCTTTGCTGGTTCTACACTTTTAAAGCCGTTGCTATCTTGATGTTTTAGTTTTCATAGTGAGCTGGCTGCTCTTGTCATCGACTTTTTCCTTTGCTTATATCGTCTCATGCTGAACAAAGCCAATTGAAGTAGCGAGGTTGCTAAAATTGAGTGGATTTGTTATCCAATTGCGCCTATAGTTTGTTTAGTCAGTGGTGGAGAGGGGATGAGACATGACGGTATGGCGGGTTAGTGAGTCGCTGAAGTACTAAATCAGATGTTAATGGCTGCTTAAATGGGGTTTTAGTATACAAATGTTTAGGTTAGGATTTTTTTTTTTTGCCATTTTGTGATCGAGATCTAATTGTAGCTTTCATGTTGCATGTCTCCATCTTTAAAATTTAATAGCAGCATGTGAAAATATATGGATTAAACTATAAATGCATACGTTACAGACTACGGACACAAACCAACACGAACTCAAAAATAGCCGGAGGGTCTACAAGTGTCATTGTATTTGTAAATAGTACTACAAACACATCATAATTCCACACGACCCGCCCCATTAGTGTTCTATTCAAATGCCTATGGATCTCATATCCACATTTACGAGGATTCAACACCTGAATCATTTGATCCTGGAGCATATTGTTCAAAATCACCACGGCTGGTGTATCATTTTCACTTGCTTTACTTGTCTCCCAGGCAGAAATGGTGGCTTCTCCACTTTTCCCCCAAACAGATACGGTATCTTCTCTACCAGTATTTGTTCGTATGCTGGAGTGGTATCTTCTCCTGCCTTGCCTATCTCCCAAGTAGATGCGGCATGTTCTTTAGCTAGAGTTTTACCCCACGATGATGAAGAGCATCAGTTGTGTGGCTCTTGCTTTTTTTTGCCTTTGCTTTGAGCAACGATTTTTGGTGCCGTAATGAATTTTTCTCATAACGCATATAAAAACCTTTGACTTTGGTGCTTTTATTAAACCTAGAAAAACGCATATCTCACTTTACAATTAGATTAGTAGTTGTTGAATAGATTTACCTAATTCTTTTACTATCAATTTGATTTTACATGCTTTGTCGGTTTTTATTCGTGTAAGTATATAAAAACTGCGTCATGAAGCTAATTACAATTGGTCAATCTATAGATGAGCTGGCATCGTTAAGTCATGCGCTTAAACTCAAAACATGCTAGAGTATTTCTATCATTAATAATTTGTATCAAACTCAACATTTCATAAGAGTCCAAATTGAGAGCTTTGTGAAAAATAATGAAACTACATCACAACATTACATTGCTTGTAACACATGCTAATATTTTTTTAACTAGAGCAAAAGTCCATTATCTTGCCTTCCGGACTTTGTCATGGTTGCAATATCTGGTGATTTATCTTATCCTGTTAGCCTGTTGTAAGATCAACCAAAAGTGTTTTGCCCTGTTGTTATTCTTTTGCATTATATGTTTTTTTTATTGTTAGCTCGATTGTGCTTTAGTATTGTTAGTCTTTCTCGGTGTTAAATTGTTCATGCTGTCTCACTTTTGCATCTAATTAGTCAACTTAGGACAAAATTTAAACGTTTTAAATCCTGATCATCTCTATTTCAAGCAATGCATTTTTTTTTTTGCTAACCTAAAAGCTTTTGCTAACCTAAAGGCTTTTTATGCATGTCATTTCTTTAAAGTATTAAAACATACGTCGTTCCAATTATATATGCGTTTATATTTTCTCTTCCTTTTTGTAGGTTCTACAACTTTTGTTTTAATCGTTACAATCTTGCATTACTGCTCACTAGGATTTGTGCCCAGCTACAATCCCGTCTCTATATCGGTTAGTTTTCTGCACCTTTAAGGAACATTACCTTCTTCATTTCTGTTTGCTCTTTTGAGACCTTATGGTTGCTTTGTTGTTTGATCTTTATGTTGGTCTTCTTTATCGCTATGTTTTTTAGCAATCGTTGCATGCTTTATTCATATATTTTACCATTTCAACGGGAAACAATGCTGTTCAAGAAGACAGCCGCATATTAAGTTTCTCTATTCTTTGTTCTAATCTAATCTCATTATGATTGTGTTTTTACTGTTATGTTTAGAATGTGTTTGTGTTTTCAATGACCTCTTGCTTTAATGGGTTATATCTCGCTGCTAATTTCATTTGGTTTAGATGGTTTCTTTCGTTGATGTGTTGCTTTTATTAAAGAGTGAACCGCTACTGTTTCTGTTTTTTTTTCACTTTGTATAGTTTTATGTCTAAACGAATAAGGCGACCTAGAAGGGCCGTTGAAATTCAACGTGCCTATTTGGATGCGGTTGTTGCGGATGGTGATCTCAATAATTCAGAGTTGCAAGATGTTCCCACCGCTTACGACGATCAAGATAATGATGTTTCAACATCTTTGAACAGCCAAGACAGCCCTCCCCAAACATTTGCATCAGCTTTAAAACAAAATATTCCCATCCGTGGTGTTTTTAACCCACATTTCGAACCTGGGACAAGTTCTCATCAGATTTCTGTACCGGTTTTCCTTGCTGATCGTGCCAATGTGCACAGTTTGTTAGCCATTCATGCTCAAACCAATCATTCTGGCTTGAACCCGCTAATAACCGGACAAGCCAACTATCAAAAAAAAAGAAAAAGTATGCAATCTTTCAACATAACTCTATTCTCATTCTTACTAATTTCAAAAGTTAAGTTTCCTCCATCAGTTAACTTAAGGTTGTCGATTTGATGAATGCTTCTGTTAATCTTTGTTTTTATAGGGATTGATCCAGAATATGTTGATTTTGGCTTAAGAAATTGTCAATGTCAATATTGCGGTGCTCTGTTTTGGTCTACAGAACAGTCTGCGAAGAATGCTTCATCTTCTACCTTGCAGTTCACCACCTGTTGCATGAGTCAAAAAGTAAAATTCCCACGCGTTAAACCCACCCCTCCTTATTTGGATGATTTGTTGAATCCCAAAAATTCTCGAAACAACTTGCAATTTAAAACAAATATTAGATCATATAATTCAATGATGGCATTAACATCAATGGGAGCCAAAGTTGATGCATCGATCAACAAGGGTCGGGGTCCTTATGTTTTTAAAATTAATGGTCAAGTGCATCATTTGATGGGTTCTTTATTGCCTCTGGAGGGCGAAAATCCTAAATTTGCACAACTATACATTCATGATACTCAAAATGAAGTCAGTAATCGTATTGGTTGTTTTAGTGGATCAGAAACGGTTGAAAAACTCGACCATCATGTTGTTGATGGCCTCATTAAAATGCTAGACGAGTGTAATGAGGTTGTTAAGCTTTTTAGGCTCGCTAGAGATATGATTGATGAAGGAAGTCATTTACGTTTGCATTTATACGATGCACAGGCTAACCATGATGCACAATATAATTTGCCGGCGTGTGACGAGATAGGTGGCTTGATAGTTGGGGATATCGGCGAATTCCACACTGAAAGAGATATCATTGTGGAGCATAGGACGCATGGCCTACAAAGAATCACAAAGTTACATCCTAAGTACATGGCACTACAATACCCTCTTCTTTTCCCCTACGGTGAAGATGGGTATAAGAAAGGCCTTCCTTGGAATCCAGATTATAAAGGGAAAAAACCAAAAATTGGGGGAGTATCACTGAGAGCGTTTCTAGGTTATCAAATTCAGGATAGACCAGGACAAAATGACACCCTATTGAAAGGTGGTAGACTGTTTCAACAATATTTAGTTGATGCATATGCCACGCTTGAAGAAGATAGGTTAGATTTTATTAGGGCAAATCAAGATTCTTTTAGAACAGAAAATCTTAAAGCAATTCATGAAGCACTCAAAGCAGGAAATACAAGCAGTTCTGGTGTTGGCAAGAGAGTCATTTTGCCAACTTCGTTTACTGGTAGCGTTAGATATATGATAAATAATTATCAGGATGCTATGGCCATATGCCGTCACTTTGGAAATCCTGATTTATTTATCACTTTCACCTGCAATGCTAAATGACCTGAAATTATTGAAGATCTACGTGATAAACCTGGTTGTAGGCCTGATATAGTCTCCCGAATTTTTAAAGCAAAGCTTAACCATATGATTAAATTCATCAAATCAGGGAAACCTTTTGGCGATGTTGAATCAGGTTAGTTAATCGCTCTTCGCCAAAATTTTCCCTTTCTTTGTTTATCTATCTAATCATTACATATCTAAAGTGTTTTGTTTTGATGTCTTTGCATTCTTTATTTAAAAACAGTGATTTACACGGTGGAGTTCCAAAAACAGGGTCTTCCTCATTGTCATATCTTGGTCTGGGTGAACAAACATTATAAATGTCATTCTCCCTACGATGTTGATTCTATCATTTCGGCTGAGATTCCTGATGCAGATGTTGACAAAGTTGGGTACGATGCAGTTTCACAATACATGATCCATGGGCCATGTGGTCTTGCAAATCGATTTTCACCATGCATGAAAGAAAACAAATGTTCAAAAAATTTTCCAAAACCTTTCACAAGTGAAACCACTTTTTCTGATGATGGTTTTGTTGCATATAAGCGTCGGGATAAAGAAAATTTGTTTGTTCTAAAAAATGGAATCAAGCTTGATAACGCATTTGTTGTCCCTTATAATCGTGAGCTATTATTGAATTATCAAGCGCATATCAATGTTGAATCATGCTGCCAATCAACACTCATCAAGTATCTTTTTAAGTACATAACTAAAGGTGTTGATCGGGCTAGAGTTGTTTTTGAAGATGAAAAGTTTGATTAGGTTGTGGCTTATCTAAATTGTAATATTTATGCCCTTACGAAGCTGTTTGGAGATTGTTACAGTTTCACATTCATTTTAGGGAACCATCGGTTGAAAGATTGTCTGTACACCTTCCATCTGACCAAAACGTTGTTTTTAGAGAGACCGATGATCTGAACTATGTTATCAACCACCCTAATCTCGAAAGAACAATGTTAACGCAATGGTTTGAAACCAATGTCCAAGACCCTGATGCACATAAGTTATCTTATGTTGAATTTCTGACAAAGTATGTTTGGAAAAATGATGAGAAACAATGGAGCCGTAGAAAACAAGGCAGATCTTTAGGTAGGGTTGCGTATGTTCACCCTGCTGCTGGTGAATTATACTATTTGAGGTTGCTGCTAAACTACCAGAAAGACATCTTTAGTTTTGACCATTTAAAAACCGTCAAAGAGGTTCTTGAACCCACATTCCAAGCTGCATGCATGTCCCTTGGTTTATTGGGAGATGATAGGGAATGGAATAGCGCTATGTTAGAAGCAGTTATCACTGCATCATCTTTCCAATTGAGACAATTGTTTGTCACATTGGTACTCTTTTGTGATGTTACTGATCCATTAGCTTTGTTTGAAGCACATTGGAAAACCATGTGCGATGACATTTCCAAGAACATGCATAACGTTTTTGGGCTACAAGATCTTTCTAAATATCAGGATGAACTTAGAAATTCGCTTTTGTACGAGTTAGAAAAGTTGTTTACAGCTTCAAATAGTTCTCTATCAAAGCATCACCTACCACAACCAAATAATCTAATGATGGATAGACTTAAAGCTAGGAGTTTGAGAGAAGAGTTAAATTATGATGTTAACTCACTAAAACAAGAGCACTCACTCCTGATTGCCCAATTAAACAAGGAGCAAAAATTAGTTTATGACAACGTCATGGAGACGATTGACAACAATAGATCTGGCCTATTTTTTGTGCATGGTCATGGTGGAACATGCAAGACTTTTTTGTGGAACACCATCATAACTAGAATTAGATCCCAAAATCAAATTGTTTTAGCGGTGGCTTCATCTGGAATTGCCTCCATCTTGCTTCCTGGTGGAAGGACGGCTCACTCTAGATTTAAAATTCCTATCAACATCACTGATTGTTCGGTTAGTGAAATTAAAAAAGGGACTCATCTTGCAAAACTAATCACTGACGCTACTCTTATTGTTTGGGATGAAGCCCCCATGAATCATAAACGGTGTTTTGAAACTCTAGATAGATCCCTTCGTAATGTTCTTAAAGGATCAAAACCAGGCTTTGACAATTTGCCATTTAGAGGTAAACCAATTCTTTTCGGAGGTGATTTCAGGCAAATTCTTCCTGTTGTTCCAAGCGGAAGTGTTGCTGACATCGTTCAAGCTTCATTTACGAGTTCATACCTTTGGTCCTATTTAACTATATTTTTCCTTAAGCAAAACATGAGGCTTTCAAAAACAGGTCTGAACGAAGTGGAAAAAAAAGAACTCGCTGATTTTGCAAAGTGGATACTAGATATTGGAAATGGTACTGTTGCCAGATCTATATCTTCAACTGATGAAGAAAGCTCTTGGATCGAATTTCCAAACCAATTCCTTATCCATTTTGATGAAGATCCCATCAAAGCCATGGTTTCAGCTGTGTATACAAATTTCAAAACAAATTTCCGAGATGTCTCATATCTGAAAGAAAGAGCTATTGTGACGCCACGAAATGATACAGCAACTGAAATCAACGATTTTGTGTTGGGTATAGTACCTGGCGAAAGTCGTACTTATCTCAGTTTTGATTCGGTGTCTTCTGTAACAGAAAATTCTGAAAATTTAGATATGCTTTATCCAATAGAATTTCTAAACCAACTTGATTTACCTGGTTTGCCGCACCACAAGTTATCTTTGAAAGTTGGTGCCCCAGTGATGTTGATCAGAAATTTAAATCAAAGTCAAGGGCTGTGTAATGGAACACGATTGGTTGTAACACAATTGAACGACAGAGTTGTACAAGCAAAAATCATGACGGGAAGCAACATTGGCGAAAGAGTTTATATCCCCAGGATCATTACTGAATCATCTCAGCATAAATATCCTTTTACTGTGCGAAGACGACAATTCCCTCTAAAAATTTGTTATGCAATGACAATTAACAAAAGTCAAGGACAATCCTTGAAAATTGTTGGTTTGTTTCTATCGCAGACTGTTTTTTCTCATGGACAACTCTATGTTGCGCTATCCAGGGTCACCTCAAAAAAGGGTCTCAAAATTGTTATTGCTCACAATAGTGACATGCCTTACGGTTATACAAAAAACATTGTTTATAAAGATGTATTGAAACATTTACATACAGGTATACGTTTATGTTCACATTTTGTCCCTTTGTTATTTTTTTTTGTTTGTAAACATGGCTCCACCATTTCTTTGATAAATCACCCTATTCAATGTTGAATTTAATTTGGTTCTAAATTTTTCATCTTTTGCTAGATTAATGGATGTGATGCCAATTAGTTTTCTGACGCCGTACCAACCAGGAAACAAACTCCAGATCAGGGTTTGTAGGATATGGGTCACGAAGAGCATCGGAAATGATCCTCAACCAACAAGTCTTGATTGTGTATTCGTTGATAAACAAGTAAGATTCTTACACCTTTTAACCTATCGTCAAACACTACTATTTTCGTGTATCAAAATGTCCACACAATTATTACAACTCACTTTTGTGATCAAACTTATCTTAAAGTTCATGAACCAAATCCTCTACACAATTATACATCATTTCTGCATAATTAATATTTGGCGAATTGTTTTGCTAGATTCAATGTTAGGCCTTGACATTCATTTAGAGGCTGCATTTAACCAGTTCATGCAGGTGGACAACAAATCAAAATTCCATTTTTTCCGTATAATAGCATGGCTTAAGATAAATTGCATTATTAACAAAAATATTCATGTTGCACCATACACAGTTCGGCTCTCTTTATATTTCACTAGAGAGATTATATTTTGTTATTTTTGAGGAAGATTTTTTAACTGAACAAACGAAGCTGAGTATCAACTACCAACTATTCTTTTCCTTAATTTATTTTCTTCTTTTTTCCTACCTATACAAATGAAACTAAATATATATTTACAAAGTTGCTTCAATTGCTGCGAATTTCATTCTTAAAGTAATCTTCTCTATTATCTTCCATATGATCTTACATGTTATCTCTATAGGAACCACTATGCTTCGCTTACTTCTTACGTGGTTCCATAACCTTTTGCGTTAAATGTTCTCCTGCTCAATTAGTATACTATCTGATTTTATTTTTCTTCTTCTAAAAGGGGGATGCGGTTCATGCAACCATTAACAGTCGAGACATGCAATATTTTTTTAACCATCTAAGGGTTGGTGAAGCATACGAAATCAACAAATTTCGTGTTGTTCACAACAGGACATCAAACAAGGTTGTCCCTCATGCTGCCATAATTGAATTGAACAGCAAAACCACAATCGTTCCTATTGACAAAACAAGCCAGGAAATCCCGATGCATTGGTTCAATTTGATTGAGCTTGAGCAGCTTTACGAAAGAATCGATAGGGATGTTGAACTTACAGGTAACAAATTTACTCTTAAGCGCCACTCCAAAATATCAACAACAACAACAACAACAACAAAGCCTTTTCCCACTAAGTGGGGTCGGCTATATGAATCCTAGAACGCCATTGCGCTCGGTTTTGTGTCATGTCCTCCGTTAGATCCAAGTAATCAAGTCTTTTCTTAGGGTCTCTTCCAAAGTTTTCCTAGGTCTTCCTCTACCCCTTCGGCCCTGAACTTCTGTCCCGTAGTCACATTTTCGAACCGGAGCGTCAGTAGGCCTTCTTTGCACATGTCCAAACCACCAGAACCGATTTTCTTTCATATTTCCTTCAATTTTGGCTACTCCTACTTTACCTTGGATATCTTCATTCCCAATCTTATCCTTTCTCGTGTGCCCATACATCCCACGAAGCATCCTCATCTCCGCTACACCCATTTTGTGTACGTGTTGATGCTTCACCGCCCAAGATTCTGTGCCATACAACATCGTTGGCCTTATTGCCGTCCTATAAAATTTTCCCTTGAGCTTCAGTGGCCTACGACGATCACACAACACACCGGATACACTCTTACACTTCATCCATCCAGCTTGTATTCTATGGTTGAGATCTCCATCTAATTCTCCGTTCTCTTGCAAGATAGATCCTAGGTAGCGAAAACGGTCACTTTTTGTGATCTTCGCTAGATTGCTCCGGTCATTAGTGTGGATAAGTATATAAATGGATAGAGATAGGAAAGCAAACACAAGATGTACGTGGTTCACCCAGATTGGCTACGTCCACGGAATAAAGGAGTTCTCATTAATTGTGAAGGGTTTACACAAGTACATAGGTTCAAGCTCTCCTTTAGGGAGTACAAGTGAATGATTTAGTACAAATGACATTAGGAAATATTGTGGGAGAATGATCTCGTAACCACGAAACTTCTAAGTACTGGAGTGTGGTATCGTCTTGACTTTCCTTATCTGTCTCATAGGTAGATGTGGAATCTTCTCTGGAAGTACTCTTCCTCCATCCAGGGGTGGTATCTGTAACTGGTGGAGATGCACAAGGTAATGTATCAATGTCACTTGAAGCTTACTTGTAGTTTCAGGCTTGGTCAAGCGCGATACAAACCATGTAGTAGGAGTCCCCCAAGTCGCCGAGCTAGGGGATCTGCTGAAAGAGGTAACAGACAAGGTAAGCAATCAGAGCTCCGGCTGATTGTTCACATTCTCCCTATCTTGCAAGCAGCATGAAGGATAAAGAGAAGAAAAATGAGAAGAGATGATATGGGATACTTTTGCTTTTGAAGAAGTAACTTTCCACAGGCTTATTCTTGAACTGGGCTGGAGGGTTTTCTGGTTTCCTCCAAAGTATAAGGCCGACTGAAGAATTTGAGGGTCAAAACAAGTCCATCAAATCTAGAGTACGTTCGACCCTGCTGATATGGGATACTTTTGCTTTTGACAGAGTAGTGGATGTATCGGCACGTGTGCTGTTACGCTTGTCTCCACATGCTTCCTTGTATCCTTCTCACTTGCCCTATCTGTTCCTCAGGAAGATGCGGTATCTTCCCGGAAGCATAAGATGTTGAAGATGAGTACTCGAGAGCAATGCCAGGGTAAGGGGTTCTAGGCAGTCAGTTCCTGGCTGGAAGCTTGATTCCAAGTGCTGACTGATTGCTCTCTTTTTCCTTGTCTTGCAGGTAAGAACAAGGCCAAAGGAAAAGACAGGGAAAAAGCATGATATGGGATACTCTTGCTTTTAACCCTGATGATATGAGATATTCTTGCTCTAGTATAGCTTGTTTACAGAGGTATTATCGGGGGGAAAGAAAGCTGAATATTTCGAAAGGCTTCGTTGGGAGTGCCCTCTCAGATAAGAGGAAGGGTTGAGCATTTTTACAGGTCTGCCTGTCCGTTGGGGATGGAGGTCGATATATATAGGAGTCTCCCTAACATCAAGTAATAATGCTATTCCTTTACCCTGCTTGGTCATAGCACGGTAGTGAGAGCTGCCAGCTTCACAAGTTTTAACTCTGTCAGAGCACTTTGAAAAAGTGGTCTGTGGTATCTGGAAAGCTGATGTTGCGTGTGAAGATTACAGACAAGCTTTATCCAAGGAGATCCGGCTCTTGAAGTTGGGAAAGTGGTGCCTCTTCGGTTTTCGAACAAGCAATCCTGTCGGGGATCTGGCTCTCGAGATTCGGAGAACGATGCCTCTTCGATTTTTGAGAAAGCAATCATGTTGGGGGTCTGGCTCTCGAGATTCGGATAGCGGTGTCTTCGATTTTTGAGAAAGTAATCATGTTGGGAGTCTGGCTCTCGAGATTCGGAGGGCGGTGCCTCTTCGATTTTGGAGCAAGCAATCTTGTTGGGAGTGTTTTCTCGAATATGAGTAAAGGTTGGGCATGTTTGCTAGTCTACCTTGCCACGAAGCACAGAGGTTGACACACAGGGACTTTCCAATTATCCAGCAGTGGTACTGTTCCTTTACCCTCTCTTCGATTTTTGAGAAAGTAATCATGTTAGGAGTCTGGCTCTCGAGATTCGGAGGGCGGTGCCTCTTCGATTTTGGAGCAAGCAATCTTGTTGGGGGTGTTTTCTCGAATGTGAGTAAAGGTTGGGCATGTTTGCTAGTCTACCTTGCCACGAAGCACAGAGGTTGACACAGAGGGACTTTCAAATTATCCAGCAGTGGTACTGTTCCTTTACCCTCTCTTCGATTTTTTAGAAAGTAATCATGTTGGGAGTCTGGCTCTTGAGATTCGGAGGGCGATGCCTCTTCGATTTTGGGGCAAGCAATCTTGTTGGGAGTGTTTTCTCGAATGTGAGTAAAGGTTGGGCATGTTTGCTAGTCTACCTTGCCATGAAGCACAAAGGTTGACACACCGGGACTTTCCAATTATCCAGCAGTGGTACTGTTCCTTTACCCTTGTGGGTAATAATATGGTAGCTAGGCCTTCAAAATTTATGTGTCTAAACTTTGTTAGTGTTGTTTCTTTGCTATTCTTTTACCCTTCTTGGTCAGAGCGATGTAGTGAGAGTTGCAAGCTTCACGTGTCTCGACTTTGTCAGAGAACTTTGGCAAAGTTATATATGGTACCCATGAGCTACTGTTGCGTGTGGGAAGTGGGTGATTGAACAGTACGATTCATGTGCTTTCTACTTCGCCAGAAATCTTCGACAGAATGCTCATAATTTCCGCAAAGCTGAGTGTGCGTGTGACAGGTGCTGACAAGGCTGGAAAAGTAGTCTCAACTTTGTCAGAGAACTTTGGCAAAGTTATATGTGGTACCCATGAGCTACTGTTGCGTGTGGGAAATGGGTGATTGAACAGTACGATTCATGTGCTTTCTACTTCGCCAGAAATCTTCGACAGAATGCCCATAATTTCCGCAAAGCTGAGTGTGCATGTGACAGGTGCTGACAAGGCTGGAAAAGTAGGTGCCTCTTCGATTTCTGAGATCGGCCCTCGTGGTCTCTGAGCAGCCCAGCTTTTGAGAAAGCAAACCTTTTCGATTTCTGAGATCGGCCCTCGTGGTCTCTGAGCAGCCCAGCTTTTGAGAAAGCAAACCTCTTCGATTTCTGAGATCGGCCTTCATGGTCTTTGAGTAGCCCAGCTTTTGAGAAAGCAAATGCCTCTTCGATTTCTGAGATCGACCCTCGTGGTCTCTGAGCAGCCCAGCTTTTGAGAAAGCAAACGCCTCTTCGATTTCTGAAGCTTCGTCGAGTGCAGATTTTTACAGAGGCTGACATTAAGTTCCAAAGCACACTTGAATATCCACCAGTAGAAGCTCCATTCTTGCACTTCTAAGATCTTGATTTGTCCGACCTCTTCTCTCTTCTACACATTTGAAAATGTCTGGCCCTTCCGACCGTCGTTTTGACTTGAACCTTGTTGAAGAGGCAGCCCCGCCTTCTCCAGACAACATATGGCGCCCATCCTTCGTCTCCCCTACTGGTCCTCTTACCGTTGGGGATTCCGTGATGAAGAATGATATGACCGCTGCGGTAGTGGCCAGGAACCTTCTCACTCCCAAAAATAACAGACTACTTTCCAAACGGTCTAATGAGTTGGCTGTTAAGGATTCTCTGGCTCTTAGTGTTCAGTGTGCAGGTTCTGTGTCTAATATGGCCCAACGCCTATTTGCTCGAACCCGCCAAGTTGAATCATTGGTGGCTGAAGTGATGAGTCTCAAACAGGAGATTAGAGGGCTCAAGCATAAGAATAAACAGTTGCACCGGCTCGCACATGACTATGCTACAAACATGAAGAGGAAGCTTGACCAGATGAAGGAATCTGATGGTCAGGTTTTACTTGATCATCAGAGATTTGTGGGTTTGTTCCAAAGGCATTTATTGCCTTCGTCTTCTGGGGCTGTACCGCGTAATGAAGCTCCAAATGATCAACCTCTGATGCCTCCTCCTTCTAGGGTTCTGTCCAGTACTGAGGCTCCGAATGATCCCCCTCCGGTGCCTTCTCTTTCTGGGGCTCTACCGACTGCCGAGACTTCTCCTAAGCAACCTTTGTGAAGGCTCCCTCTTGTTTGTTTATTTTGACTCAAGTATATGTACATATTTGTAATTTATCGGGGATATCAATAAATAAGCTTTCCTTCATTTCAACGTATTGTGTTAAATCACCAAAGCCTTATTCGCTAAGTTCTTTGAATTTTCTTTTGTTGAAGCTTATATGTTGGAGCTTTGTGAGTGGAGCATGTAGGTTGAGGTAGTGTTCCCTTAATTTCCCGAGCGAGGACAACTTCTCGGTTGGAGACTTGGAAAATCCAAGTCACTGAGTGGGATCGGCTATATGAATCTTAGAACGCCATTGTGTTCTGTCCTGTGTCATGTCCTCCGTTAGATCCAAGTACTCTAAGTCTTTTCTTAGGGTATCTCTCAAAGTTTTCCTGGGTCTTCCTCTACCCCTTCGGCCCTGAACCTCTGTCCCATAATCGAATCTTCGAATCGGAGCGTCAGTAGGCCTTCTTTGCACATGTCCAAACCACCGTAACCGATTTTCTCTCATCTTTCCTTCAATTTCGGCTACTCCTACTTTACCCCGGATATCCTCATTCCTAATCTTATCCTTTCTCGTGTGCCCACACATCCAACGAAGCATCCTCATCTCCGCTACACCCATTTTGTGTACGTGTTGATGCTTCACCGCCCAACATTCTGTGCCATACAGCATCGCCGGCCTTATTGTGTCCTATAAAATTTTTCCTTGAGCTTCAGTGGCATACGGCGGTCACACAACACGCCGGATGCACTCTTCCACTTCATCCATCCAGCTTGTATTCTATGGTTGAGATCTCCATCTAATTCTCCGTTCTTTTGCAAGATAGATCCTAGGTAACGAAAACGGTCGCTCTTTGGTATTTCTTGATCTCCGATCCTCACCCCTAACTCGTTTTGGCCTCCATTTGCACTGAACTTTCACTCCATATATTCTATCTTTGATCGGCTTAGGCGAAGACCTTTAGATTCCAACACTTATCTCCAAAGGTTAAGCTTTGCATTTACCCCTTCTTGAGTTTCATCTATCAACACTATATCGTCTGCGAAAAGCATACACCAAGGAATATCATCTTGAATATGTCCTGTTAACTCATCCATTGCCAACGCAAAAAGGTAAGGACTTAAGGATGAGCCTTGATGTAATCCTACAGTTATGGGAAAGCTTTCGGTTTGTCCTTCATGAGTTCTTACGGCAGTCTTTGCTCCTTCATACATATCCTGTATAGCTTGGATATATGCTACTCGTACTCCTTTCTTCTCTAAAATCCTCCAAAGAATGTCTCTTGGGACCCTATCATACGCTTTTTTTCCAAATCTATAAAGACCATGTGTAAATCCTTTTTCCCATCTCTATATCTTTCCATCAATCTTCGTAAGAGATAGATTGCCTCCATGGTTGAGCGCCCTGGCATGAACCCGAATTGGTTGTCCGAAACCCGTGTCTCTTGCCTCAATCTATGCTCAATGACTCTCTCCCAGAGCTTCATTGTATGACTCATTAGCTTAATACCCCTATAGTTCATGCAATTTTGTACATCACCCTTATTCTTGTAGATAGGCACCAAAGTGCTCGTTCGCCACTCATTTGGCATCTTCTTCGTTTTCAAAATCCTATTGAAAAGGTCAGTGAGCCATGTTATACCTGTCTCTCCCAAAACTTTCCACACTTCGATTGGTATATCGTCTGGGCCTACTGTTTTTTCTATGCTTCATCTTCTTCAAAGCTACAACCACTTCTTCCTTCCGGATTCTACGATAAAAAAGAGTAGTTTCTACACTCTTCTGAGTTACTCAACTCCCCTAAAGAAGCACTCATTTCATGTCCTTCATTGAAAAGATTATGAAAATAACCTTTCCATCTGTCTTTAACCGCGTTCTCTGTAGCAAGAACCTTTCCATCCTCATCCTTGATGCACCTCACTTGGTTTAGGTCTCTTGTCTTCTTTTCCCTTGCTCTAGCTAGTTTATAGATATCCAACTCTCCTTCTTTGGTATCTAGTCGTTTATACATATCGTCATAAGCCGCTAACTTAGCTTCTCTCACAGCTTTCTTCGCCTCTTGCTTCGCTTTTCTATACCTTTCACCATTTTCATCGGTCCTATCCTTGTATAAGGCTTTACAACATTCCTTCTTAGCCTTCACCTTTGTTTGTACCTCCTCATTCCACCACCAAGATTCCTTTTGGTGTGGGGCAAAGCCCTTGGACTCTCCTAATACCTCTTTTGCTACTTTTCGGATACAACTAGCCATGGAATCCCACATTTGGTTAGCTTCCCCCTCTCTATCCCACACACACTGAGTGATTATTTTCTCTTTGAAAATGGCTTGTTTTTCTTCTTTTAGATTCCACCATCTAGTCCTTGGGCACTTCCAAGTCTTGTTCTTTTTTCTCACTCTTTTGAAAAGGGGAGAAATGGCCCATGCAGGTCTCGAACCTGCGACCTTCGCGTTATTAGCACGACGCTCTAACCAGCTGAGCTAATAGGCCTTTTTTTTTTTTTTAAGAATCATTTAAATTTTTTTGTTGGCTTTGGTGCACACTCATTCTCGCTAATGAACATCGTCTATAGATATATTTGGTTGCTTGAAGGCTGTGCAGCCGATTGAAGAGGTAACCATCCAACGCACAAGAATTGCAAAGAAGAGAAATCTTAACCTCCAAAATATCAGGTAATTTCTATATGCGTTAAACTTTGATTACAATTTTCACATATGACACCGTAGGCGTAACGTATAACTGACTGACACCTTCTTAATTATTTACAGGGGTGAAACAGTGAGAATCACCTTATGGGGAGAGACTGCGACAAATTTTGAGGACAGTGGAATACAATCGTTATTGCCACCCGTGTTTGTTGCTTTGACAGGCCTCAAAGCTAAACAATACCAAGGTCATACCTCGACATGCTTTATTAAACTGCTTAAAGTTTAAATTTGTTCATTATTCTCTTTTTATTTATAGGAAAGCCTGTTCTTGGAAGCACAGGATCAACCATTTATATTTTCAATCCGGACATTCCACAACTCTCTGAATACAAGCGCAGGTAAATAAACAACCCTTCTTTAAGAACTTTTACATTTATATTTCTTAGTTTAATCTTTCTCACCCAAAACATGCAAAAAATAGGTTTGAGCATCTAAAATCACCTATTCGGATCTTGCCCAGCTTAACTGACATGTATACGGGGCATGTTATTGGTGCTGATTCTGAACCAAAAACGATAGACGAGTTGCTTTTACTTGATCCTACGTTGCACAAGGTTAGTCTCTCATTACCAACCTGTTAAAAAAAATTCAAACTGTTACAAAAAAAAAGGCACCAATAATTATAATGCCCCGGAATGAAATCAATTATTTAATATCAAGATCAATGAAGATATGATATCCCTAAGATATCTCAAAAGGAAAGTCAAATATAAGATGTAAAATTCATTAAGCTATTAGATGCCTTTTCTTTATGGTTATTATGCTTAATATTTATGTAAGCATAGGCTTTAGAATAATAACTAACATGAATGGGAAGTACAATCAAACTGAACAAGCAGTCGACCAATATGCTGTTGCCAACCTGCAATACCCAGGATATTAAAAGTATGACAGAGCGCCTATTCGTTTTTACTCCATGTTTCCAAGGCGATGCTTAAATGATTAATGAAGATATGATACCCCTAAGACATCTCAAAAGAAAAGTCAAATGCAACATGTAAAGTTCATTAAGCTATTAGATACCTTTTCTTTATGGTTATCACGCTTAATATTAATGTAAACATAGGCTTTAGAATAATAACTAACATGAATAGGAGAAACAATCAAAGTGAACAAGCAGTCCACAAATATGTTGTTGATAACTTCCAATAACCAAGATATTAAAAGTATGACAGAGTGTGTATTCGTTTATACACCATGTTTCCAAGGTGATGATTAAATGTCGATGATCATTTTAAAACCTATGTTTCAATAACAGAATGCAAGTTTCACATGCAAAGCGACTGTTGTTGACTTCGATTTGGCCAGAGGTTGGTGGTACAACTCTTGCCCATCCTGTCATAAAGTTGTAAGAAGATGTGTGGATCATTTCAGTGCAACGAACATGGTTTGATAAACAAATTACCCGAGCCATGGTAATAATCTTTTGCATCTATTTTACGTCTAACGGTTATATTAAGTTGTTGAGTCCTTTTTGAAATTCTTATGATTATCAAATTCACACATAATAATGCTTTTATATCTACGATATTTTATGCGACAAGAAGGTAGAACATGTGACGAGCACACAGCTTTCTTCAGCCAGCATATATTTTTGCATTCACTCTCATGCATATGTTGGTCTTTGATTCATGATCTAAAATGCGTGCATACAAATAAATTTACAGTGGTCTCCATCTCCATTATACTTTGACTACTGTTTGACCCTTGGGAGTGTATTAGTGACATTATCGTAAATATTCCTGCTATAATGTGTTTAGGATAGTCTACACCTATAGTCTTTTTCCCACCTTTAAAGAAGAAACTTAAGAGTTTCCAAAACAACCATAATGATGATACGTGAATGCTGCTTTGATGTAATAAGTCAATAAAATTTACATCGCTTAGGAGGAATGGCTGTTTTCTTAGCTATTGTCATATGACCGCTTTTAAATATTGTAGCACACTTTCTTTAGTTTAAAGTTAACTGGTATGTTGAATTCAATAAGTTCAGTGACGAAATGGATATTGTAGGACCTCTCCATTTTGGTTACCAACTTTCGCTTAGAATGTATGATTGTCTAACACAAAATATCCTCCTCTTGCACAGGTTCAAGATCAATCTGATTGTCGAAGATAACACGAACCAACACAACTTCCTCATGATAGGAAGGCAAGCCGAAAAGAGGCTTGGCATTTCTTGCTACACTTTGGTGATAGAGAACGGACACGAGGACCCTTTCGTGGTGCCGCCAATTCTTAACAATTTGGTCGGCAAGTCAAAAACCTTTCAACTATCTTTTGGAAAGAAAAACAGCGACTTTGCAAAAACAGACTTCATCGTTAATGGACTGGTTGAAGACCAACCGCTCTCCAACCCAACGATTGCCTCAGTCATACCACAAACACCCGCTACCAGTGTAGGCAAACAAATTACCAGTCAAGCAACCCCCGCCCCATTGACACTTTCCCAACAACCAGATCAACAACCCAAATCAGTTGCACCCGCCATAACTTCAAAGAGAGTATTGTTCCCTGATCAAACGAACAAACCTGACAGGTAAAGTTTTCCTGACGATAAATGTTGTCATGTGTCAATCTTAATAACTATACTTGCTTATCTTCAGTGTAAATTTAGTCAATCATGAAAAACTGTTTACAAAACTTTTTGCACCACTCTTTCGCACTCTTCTCCATGGCTATCATGTTTCTCTTTAACCTTATAAAATTTACCTTCGTTAACAGCAAAAAACCTTGCCCCCAGCAAACAGACACAACCAATTCTACAAGAATTGCTAGAGAATTCCACAATCTGGTTGTCCCCAAAATTGAACCCGCCGACAAAGTGCCGATAGCCGCACTCAAGATAAAAACTCAGGCCAAAAAAACCAAAGATAGGTAAATTATAATTTGTTTTTCACACCCACATCTACACAATATCAATGATGGCAGTGTCTGTTAAATGATTATTTATGTTTTTTTGCTATAGTGTGGAAGATGTCCGATCTCAGAAAAAGTGAACACCCACAATCTTCGTCATCGAGTGCTACAGGATGTGCTACATGTTTTTTGCGTTGAAAATTTGTGCTTAAAAACTTAGGTGCTGGAACAAGAACGAAACACTTTTTAATGTTTTTTGTTAGTGCTAAACAAGTGGCTAGCTTGCAAGACATATATTTAACCATCTTAACTGCGGAACTGTCAACTACATATTGCTTTTGTTTCTTCAGTTTCTTATGGGAACAATCCTTTTGCATTTTTTTTTTCTTTTAACATTTGTGCTTCGGAAATGTTTTTTCTTAATGCTAAAACAATTGGCTAGCTTGCAACACATATATTTAACCATCTTAACTGCAAAAGCAAACAAAGTGTTAACTGCATGTTGTTGTTTTTGTTTCTTCAGTTTCTTATGGGAACAACCTTTTTGCATATTTTTTGCTTTGAACATTTGTGCTTCGGAAGTTAGCTACTTAAACAAGTACTTGAACATTCAGTTTCATCCTACTAATTGTGTAACAGGAGGGATTAAAAAAATGGCAGAAATTGTACATACAGAAGAACACAAACTTTATTCTTTTCTAGAGTCCCTGTTGGATCAGTGGTTCCCATCAACATATAACTCTGAGCACTAGAAATTTTCCCTTTTTTAAAACTAATATTTTCCTCTTTCTTCAAGAATGACAAACGATGTTGCAAATATTATTCTTCTACACGAATATGAGAAGACATCAACTTAAACGTGTTGTAATCATCATCCATCCCGCCGTAGCTTAAGGCAATTGGAAATACAGAACATGAAGGAACGAAACCCATCAAGGAACTAGAAATAGTGAAAAGAAATGTAGACATGTATAAAAACAACAATATGGCAGCCATTTAAATAGATAGAAATATAACCTTACTTTTGGCTGCTGCACGCCTGTTGCAAAAAACACCACTGAGTATTTTCCAGATCTTTCATCAATAACTCCATAAAATAATCTTTTGGCACCACTCCATGGTATAGAAAGACAATTAAATTCCTATTGGACATAAAATGCAGTAAGACTCAAAATTGTTGTTAAAATAACACTGTTAAGAATATGAGCTTTACTTACTGACTTTGTGTCTTATTCATGCAGTTACGCTTGAAATATGTCTTCTTCATGCAGCTACACCTGAAACAGTTGGTTCCCGCAACAACGTGCGGGCTTATTTCCTAGTCAAATTCTAAATCCAAGCTATCAGACAAAACGTAATTCTTACCAGATTAACAAAACTAAAAGCCTAAACCAAAACAGGAAAATAAATTAGACGACAATAAAAGAGTAAAACATGTATGAGCAAGGTAGGGGTTTACAAACTCTGTTTGTTCCTTCAAACACGCATAAAAGGGACTCAAGGTTTGCCAATTACCCCACAATTGCATAAAATTATAACCATATTCTATTCTAATTCTGAAAAGTAGGTGTCAGTCAAATTATTAAGCCAGCAAAATTGAAGGAAAAAATGTTAAAAGAAAGAGAAACATAAATTGCTCATCATGGATTTTGGAAAAAAAAATGTTAGAAATATAGAATACAGAGGTCACCTATTCTTTTGCACACATATCTTTGCAACTCAAACACATAGTTTTGATAATGTTTGCTTGTCTATGACGTAAAGACATTTTACCAAAAATTATTAGTTTTTTCCAAGCTTTCAAGTAAAATTATATTCTCTCACTGATATGAAATTAAATTGAAAGTAGAGCTCGAATAAAGTTTGAGGAGTTTAACAATATTTTATCATCCATTTAAAGGCTTTTAACATTATGAAATTACCTTCAAACTTCAATCGAGTTGCATAATTAATCCATAGTGATCAATATGGATTCCGCAGGGATCTAAGGGAGAAATAATTCAGGCTATTTCTATCAGACATATCAAAGAAAAAATTATGTCACTTCTTACTGGGCTGACTGTTACTGTTGCCGACCAAGTTGAGACAGAAGTGATTGCTGCAAAGTTAAGAGCATCGGTAAGATAGAAAAGAAAAAACAAAGGCAATAAGAAGCAAAAGTTAAATTATGAAAGAGACAGAAAATGAATGATGAGCATTGAGTTTGCCTGGAATTGCTTTCTAAATACAAAGTATTTAGAATTTGTGAATCTTAATTAGGTTTCATGTCTTAGTCATACATACTTTGTACTTTTTGCAGGACCCTGATAGTTGCTAATGCTGGGGATTGTCGAGCTGTGCTTGGTAAGGCAGTAGAGAGGTCAAAAGACCACAAATCAAATTGTAAATATGAATGACTAAGAATTGAGAATCTTAGCGGTGTCATATATGACGGCTATATCAATGCTCAATTAGTCAAACACAAACATCAAAACTCAAAACCTTAGGCATCCTAAATAAATATACCAGCATAGTCTCGGGAGAAGCCAACTGACGAAGAAATTCTGGGTTTTGCATCATCTCCCTTACTAAGAATTGGAATCAAGTATGTTGCGTAACTGGAGGTTGGAACCTAGAATCTGCAGTCAAATAATGTTAAGAAAGAATAAATTTCATCCTTAGTTTACTAATGGAGAAATTAGAAACAATTTCAAAGGCTCAAAGCTTGAAAATAAAATAAAAGCCAAATTCAAAAGAAATCAAAACAATTAAGGGCTTGTTTGGTATTCTACTTGAGTTCAACTTTTTTAACTGAAAAACACTTTATGAGTTTTAGGAGTTGAATTCTTGTTTGGTATGACCTTTTTTTTTTAAATTGGATTCAAAACTAACTTAAAAACATATCAATTTCTTAAAAACACATGGGGTGTATTCAATTGGGATTTTGAGGGATTTTAATTCTTTTAATGAATCTAGGGGTATTCAATCAAGATTTTAAGTGATTATATGAAATTCAAGGTGTAGTCAATTATAATTTTAAGATATTTTATTAAAATCATTGGAAATTCGGCTGTATTCAATTAGGATTTTAAAGAAGTTTATAACATTCCAGGTGTATTAAATTAAAAATTAATTTTAAAGAATTTGAGAAAGTTGAGGAATTAAAGGGAATTTGAGAGATTTCGTAGTGTATTTTAAGCATCCACAAATCTCCCATCTTCTCATGAGATTTCAAGGGAATTGAATCTAAATTTTATATGAAATCTCTACAAATCAATTAAACTCTATAAAAATCCATGAATTTATAAATTTATTAAAGTCTCTCAAATTCTCAATTGAATACACCAAGTGAATTTTTAGAGTTTTTTCTGCTTTCTTCTCAACATCTTTTTTTCCCCCTCTCTCCTAATTCTTTCTTTTTTTCTCTCCTAACCCTCTCTTTCCTCTCTCCTCACGTCACACATGTCTTCTTTCTCTCCTCAGCCTTTGTCTCATCACCCTCTCTTTCTTCTCACTCCTCATCTTCTCACCGTAATTTTTTGCTCTCTCCCTCACCTCCTCGCCAACTATTTCCTCTCTCCTCTTTCCCAATTGTCTCTCTTCTTCAATTTTTGCTCAAAGTAGTTTGAATTCAAACTAAAAAATTTATTTTTAAAAACTCAACCAAACAAATTTTTGAAATTTTGAGATTTAAAAGAAAATTGTTTTTAAGTGATGTTATTTGAAAATTATTTTTAGGAACAATCAAAGTTTTTGGTAGCCTAAAAGGGGAACGGTGAGCAACACGTGTATAAGAGGATGGAACCAAAAAGCACACGAATGAGGGCAAATGCGTCTTTTTGCTGTGCCAAGTTGGAAAAAATGGCTAGTAACAAGGGAATCCAAGGACATTTTCGGCGGTTCACTACTGGTGAATAGTGCTTTTTGCTTAAGTTTTAGTATATATATAATATAAGGGGATTTTTTTTCTTTCTACAACCTTATTTATGAAATATTTCTCACTAACATATTAACAATTAATAATCATACACACTAATTAAATAGGGGAGGCTAGTACACATAACTCAGGATCTTCCAAACTCATACTTATTTTGAAGAAGAAATTAGCTATAGTTTGTGGTGTTGGGCCACTTCTTACATGCAAGGTTGGGATCTCCACCACCTAATGTTCTGATACATACCCTAAATAAAAACGTTTTCAAAATGATGAAAAAGAGATTTTATTTTATACAAGCGATACTTTACTTTCAACTAAATCTAAACTACAACAAAAGAAAAATTCAAACTCGAGTGTATAGAGGAAGCACATCCGCTATGGCAAATGTGATCACACTGACGACTGTGATAAAACATACTTAAACTTTAGAACGTTGTATATAGATGTTGAGTTATTTCCAACTAGCAGCGGCTTCTACTTGATGTTGGTACATCCTTCACTATGGCTAGAATGATAAACATTGTTGAGTTGATTATTTCATGCAATGAATTATCGTCCATCATCATATGGAGTAAACTGGATATGCATGCTGTCATACCCAATAGTTGTACCAGTACTAGGACCACAATCAGCTCTAACATCCATATGATAAGCATCTGAGTTACCTGGCCCAAGTAAGCACTCAATCTCTTTTGAACAAGTTTCAGCTTTTCCCCATGGATGCTTTTCTGTAATTCTCATCCCTTCCAGCTCCATGGCAACTTCTTTCATTGTTGGCCTGTCCTTCCCTTTTACCCTTACACATCTTTTTGCTAGATTGGCCACTGTTTTTAGTGTCTCGATGTTTCTCTCGTTGAGCATGTCATCATCGAGAATTTCATTCAGGCGATCCTCCTCCATTAAACAAACAAAGAACCTTGCTAGGCTTCTATCTGCCCCAGGCCTGTCAGAATCAAGTGCCAGTTTACTTGTTAGTAGCTCCATAAGGACAACTCCAAAGCTATAGACGTCACTCTTATCTGTTAGTTGACTCGTGAGGAAGTATTCAGGGTCTAAGTATCCGACTATTCCTTGCACTAAAGTTGCAAGTTGGGCTTGATCAAGAGGAATCAATCGTGAAGCTCCAAAGTCTGACACTTTTGCCGTGTAATTTTCATCTAACAGTATATTTGTCAGTTTCACATCTCGATGTATGATTTGCATCATAGCTGAGGAGTGTAAGTATGCTAGTGCTCCAGCAATTTCAGCTGCTATCTTGAGTCGTAATTCCAATGAAAATGATGATCCTTTCCTCTTTTTGCCATGTATGTGCTCAAAGAGAGTGCCGTGAGCGACAAACTCGTAAACTAGTAGAGGAACTTCTAACTCCAAACAACAACCCAATAACCTCACCACATTTCTATGGTTGATTTGAGAAAGAACAAGCAACTCGTTGACAAACTGCTCCTTCTGCGTTAGGACACAAATTTTAGACTTTTTTATGGCAACCACTTTATTGTTATTTGCTGCTAATATTCCTTTGTAAACTATTCCATAGCCTCCTTCACCAAGGATTCCACTTTCATGGTAATTGTTTGTTGCCTTCTCAAGTTCTTCTGCCGTGAAAATTTTTGTTGTCTCCATAGAGCCTCCTTGACTAGCGATTTTTTGTTGTAACAATAAGCCACCATTTTCTTTAAAGTATTTTTCTTTGAGTTTGAGGAACTTTCTTCTCTGCATTCCCCAATATATCCAAGATCCACTTAGTAAAAGCAAGAAGCCTCCACTGGCACCTGCAAAGATGATTACATGAATTACAAGAAATTATACATAGCAAATCATCAATGTATTAATCTTGTTTTTGTCGTCTGGTGAGTACTTTTCTTGTTTTAGAGCAAAGTGATAATTTGTAACAAAAAATGACATATGCTACACAATGAGAATATTTAATCATTATGTACATGCATGGATCTTTCTAAGCCACATATATGTAAGTATTAATCATTCTTTGGGCAAGACAAACTCTTCATATATATGTTATTGACAATGTGCCGATATCAGTTTTAATATCATGTCAATAACAAAGTGTACGTACCATTTTCGATTGTTACATTCTTGATAATATTGATTTGAAAACCTGTCTTCCAAAGAGCATTTCTGATATATGTTTGAAAGTTTTGGTTCTGAAAGTGGGTAAAATTTGAGTGCAATTGTTCAAAGGAAAATTAGCAAGTTTAGAATTTTAGACTAGGACTGTATGATGTGACATATGTAAATTATTTCTATACTAAAATCTGGATTAGGATTCTCTCCCATCCTATTCTCATCATCTTCCCTCTCCTCCTCTTACACATTGTTTTTTGTCTTATTATACTAAGATGTTGGCGTGACTTAACCGTGACCATTCAAATAGGAGGGGAGGGAAGGGGAGAGAGATTAGTTAATATAAGATGTTGACGTGGCTTAACCGTGACAGTTCAAATAGGAGGGGAGGAAAGGGGAAAGAGATGGGGGGGGGGAGAGAGAGAGAGAGAATCCTCCTCCCTAAAACCCAAACTCTTGGTTACTGTTCACTAACAGTGGAGTGGCAAAAAGGAGATGGATTTTCTACTCTTCCACTTCCCATACACTTCCATCCTCTCCTATTTATGTGGTTACGGTTAAACCAAGTCAATATTTTATATTATTATTGTTTTTTATTTTATTATCTTTATTAAAAAATTAATATAAAATATTGATATGACTTAACCCTAACCACACAAACAGGGGAAAATACCCTCCAAATTTTTTCTGTCAGCGTTTTATGACGGTTATGCCCTTTTATTCCACCTGTCCGTCATCGGTGCACGGTTTGGCTTTAGTCGTTCTGGACCTTTCTTTTAGCTTTTCACTTTCCTCTCGCGCATACATGGAGTTCCTTCCTTCCGTCTCCGATTTGTTTTCTCTACCCGTACCGCTTCATCTTTTTGGTTGTTCAAATTAATCAGCCTCTTGTTTTGTTGTTCGCGAATTGGTTATCAAAGTTGATTTCTTGAAAATCAATAAGGGGTTAGAAGCTTCTACCCATTTTTAATCCGAATAGAATTTGTTCTGGGCTGATCTAATCCAACCTTTTCAGGTCAGAAAGCTTGCTTAAATTTCGATTTTTATTGAACTCAAGAATGCTTCTTCAGTTTTTCAGGTTGATTTGAAGGAACTTTTTTACCCAAAAAAGCTAGGGTTTCCTGGTGAGTTTTTCGTGCCTTTTTGAATTCGATTGGAATCCGTTTTTAACCCACATAACCTAACGTTTTCTGGTGAGTTTTGCGGCTTTTTTAGTGTTCCTGATTTAAATTTTTTTGGTGATTTGCGTGTGGCTGTCTGATCTGGTTTGATTTTTTCTGTCAGGAAACGTTGGTCTTCGAATATTGGGGTTTTTGTGTGCAAGCCCTTTGTGATCAAGGTATATAATTTTTGTTTTTCGTATTGAATTTTTTGTTGAACATTTTTTTTTTTTTGGGTTTTGATTGTGGGTGTATGATTTGGTATGCTTCCAGTCCACGGTTGACAAAATAGCAGCGTTTCTTATGATGGGTTTTTATATAATGAAGTGCAGGGATTCATGATAGTTTCTTATATTTGATAACAAAATTTAATATGGAGTTTGAATGGATCGAAGCTTTGTTTCTGATGGTTTATATTTTGATTTATTTCCTGTGATTTGAATACACATTGTTTTATTATTCTTCTCATTTTAGAGTTTTTAAATTTTTATAGGCTTAATTATTAGGTTGCTGAAGGAGGATTTGAATTCGATTTTTTTTTTTCACAATTCAGACCATTCATTAGTTAACACAAAGCAAGGTTTTGATTGTTTTAGAAAACTTCTGTCTCCTCGCTCTAGAAGAGAACTGAGAAGATTCTGAAAGGTAATTGCTTTCCAATAGTTCTCTCTCTGTTTACTTATTTTTTGTTTGGATCCCGAGATCATATAGTGCAACGACGCAATATCTTATATTTTCTTGATTGTAACAACTCTTCCTATATAATACAGTTGCTTTCATTCTTTTCAGATTGTGTGTAAATTCCATCTGGGTTCTTCAAATTCAAGCCCCCCAAATTTGAGCAGTTTGTGTTACCCGGTTAGTCATTTTCATGCTCATTGTTTAATCACGGACATTACTCTAACGTGTTCAATCGGTATCATAATTTCTGATAAGTGTATATGCCCGTTGAACCCATCAACTTAAATATATATATATATATATATGTGTGTGTGTGACTGCTTGAATCAGGACTTATCGAATCAAGGCAGCTGCAAGGAAATTTGAGCCTTGGCCTGTAGAGATACGATTTTGCAAGGAAGCTAGGTACCTTCTAGACTTATTGGATGTGAAGATTTGTATGATCGAATTTGTGATTAATATACTTGGATTTTATTAAATTTTTCATGATTTTATAGAGTTTTTCGTTTAAATTTGTGGGTTTTAGTTTAAATTGTGGGTTTTGGAAAATTCTTCATTAAATTTCTGGGTTCTTTTGATGTGGATTTATGTGAGATTAATCAACTGCAATGTCAGATATGATAATAGGTGGGCATGTTCATATGTTTTCCAATGTTCTCTTATCAACTTTTAGTATTGAAATAGTCAGCTATTAATTATGGATTAATCAAAGTTGGGCATGAGTTCATATGTTTTTCAATGTTTTTATAAAAACAATGCAATTTTCACTAAGTTTTGAGTAGAATAGTGGGAGATTCATTTGTGATCATTTGAAAATAAATTTTGAATACTACACTACCATTCTGCTTAAAGCGCCCCAATACATGCATAATTTGAATGAATATGTATAGGTTACTTGAGAAACTAACAGCCTACAAAATTTAAATGATTCTATTTTGTTTCTATGTTTTTCTGGATTTGTCTGTGGTTGGCTATTATGATTTTGTCTGGCTAATGGACTCTCTGAAAATGTGTTTTGGCTTTTTTAATTCAAAAAACTTAAAACTGATTTTGTTTGCCGACGATTTGTTATGAGGTATTGCTATAACATGGATAAATTGACACTGATTCTAGTAATAAACTAACAATCCAAGTAAGAGATTTGTAACTAAGTTCGCACACAAGACCCGAGTTCAACTTTTCCCTTCACCCAATATCCATTGTATATGCAAAAACACGCGCCTAAAGAAAAAGTAAAATAAAACTAACATATGCATACCTAGTGAGATAATAAGCAGGAGACTGAGCTTTGCCCGACTGTTGGCCTTGATGCATCTTATTTTATCCGGATCGTCATTTTTGTACCCTTTTGGACATTTGCAAGTATAATTTCCCGGTGTATTTATGCAGGTTCCCATACTGCAGGGGTTTGGAGCCTTGCACTCATCAATATCTGAACAGAAAGAGAATGAATTAAATCCATGAACAATAGGTAAAAATTAATTCCCACTTTTGAGACTTTTTGTTAACAACTTGCTACTAAAAAAATGCTGAAGGAGACAGTTCATGAACCCACAGATTTGATAATCCGTGGCTAATTGGTGGCTACTTTGGCATCGTCAGCTAAGCTTACATGTTATTTTAATGATAAGGGTCATTTTGATTCTGGTCTCTAGTCAACCTAATTGTTATATTAAAACCTTGTTTATTTAAATATTTTGATTGAGGTTCCTAGCACACTATTTAAGGGATTTAACTCCTGCTTCTATTACATTATATATGCAAAAAAGTCGAGCAAATTGGAAATTTATTTGTTTAACCATAATAAAAAAAAAGTAGACCTACATACATACATACATGCACGTATACATATTGATGAACGCAATTTTTTTTATGATAATAATCAAATGGTCAAATGCTGTCTAGATTTATTTACCTTGGCAACCACCTGGGAGGTATGGGTTCCCTTCGTAACCTGACCAGCACCGGCATATGTAGCCTGAAGACCGAGTATGGCAGGAGCTATTTGCCTTGCATGCAAAAGTGCTCTCGTTTTTAGCTGCAATATCACATGACTTATTCCCAATTACCCAATCAATAATTGCCGGAAGCTTGGTTGTTTCGTTTAGTTCTCGAAAACTCGTGCTGGTAAAGTTGAACTCGCCTTCTTGCACAAGGAACGCGTAGCTGCATCGGTGGGAGTCCTGCACATCCGTATAATTGTCTAAACTTCCCAAGGTCACAGTCTGATTTTGCAGCCCACCGGGGATTTTAGTTTGGCAACATCCAAAGCCAGAGCAAGTATCCCGCTGATCGATAGCTTTGCCAAGATTGTCACATATGGACATACACCCAGTTGTGTACTTTTCTTCACCCCGGTAACCTATAAAAAACGCATATGTGTCGCATCCAACTGCAACGAACACGTTTTTGGTTTTGGAGATGGTGTAAGGAGGAGGCACCCAGAGCTTGGGACGGTTCCGTCGGGTCCTGTTGCCTTGGGCATCATAACAATCACTGGATGTGAACTGTAGTATTTGGAGCTCACCGTCATAAAGAGAAATGTTGGTAATTTCGAGATTGCTCGTCATCATAAATGCTGTTGGCGGTTGAGTGGAAATGTTATAAGTGATGTTAAACCGGTCGTTGAGGTAGCAACCATCGCCTATGCCAAATGGGTATGGAATTGTGAGATTACCACAATGGTCAGGGCAGCCAGGCAGTGCCTGAGGCGGAAGGAGAGATTGAGCTGTGGTTGGAGTTGGAATTCCTAGTAAAATTGTAACTACCACCACCATTACTAAAGAGAGATGCAAAATATGCATCCTCCTAAGTAACGCCATATAGTATTAACTGAAAGGGGTCGAGCAGATCCTAGCAGTAGCAGAGAATAAAATCCAAGCAGGTGATGGATCCAAGAAATTAAGGAACTGCTAATTAAGAAGGTTGGCCTTCCGTAGGAATATATATATATATATATATATATATATATATATATATATATATATGGAAGGGATTAAAAGGCGTGGTGGAATATTTTGGGTTGGGGGAAAATGTGTCCCTACTCTTAATTGTCTGTTATTGTTGTAGTCCACAATTAGGCTTTGTCCCATTTATTTCCAGGAAATGCACAAGAAAACATCCACCTGACTTAGTATTGGTCATTAGTCGATACGCGTTGCCTTGAGCATGGTTGGCCTTCTCTAGGAATTAATATAAAAGGAGGGGATTAGAACGCATGGTTGCATATTTTGTGTTCCTCATCTTGGCTGATTTGTCTGTTATTGTTTTAGGCCACCATTAGGCTTTGTCCGGTTTGTTTCCAGGACGAGCACAAGAAAATATCGATCTCACTTAGTACTGAGTTATGACCAAAAAAAAAAAAAAGACTTGGTACTGAGTCATTGGTCAATAAGCGAGGGGAGTGTGCAAAGTCAAGCCAAGTTTATTGAGCATTTAAGATAGATGTATAAACATGGATACAAATGGCTATCTAAATGGGTAAGGCATGTGTGGTTGTTTTTGTGCATTCATATGTTTATCACAAAAGATAACACAGGGCAATAAAGTATTTTGTCAAATTGGAAATTGTGAATATAAATTTGTCTAAAATTTGTGGAGTGATTAATCTGAAAAAAGTTTCCATATAAGAATGGGATATAATACGTGCTAAAGATGGATCAGATATCTTTGGTTTGGTTTCTCTGCAAAATATAGAGATGTAATTTGATCAAGCATTTCAGATGTCATCATTTTCATCTTTTTTTTTCTTCAGAGGAATTGGTTGTTACCAATAAATAGATAAAAACTTTCTTCTTTTGGGTTGCTCTATATACATAATCAAGTATTCAACTGTTTATTGAGAAGTTTAAGATGGATATCTAAAAGCATAGATAAAAACTTTCTTCTTTTCTGTATCATTAAGGTGTACTTTGGCTCATTATGGCATGTGGAGAGGGTATATCTGTAGTAGGAATCTTATCTCAAAATCATAAGTTAGATAGACAATTCACACAGACTTTTAAAATCTCACACTCACTTTTTGAACAATTATTATCTTTTAAGAAGGAATCTTATCTCAAAATCAAAAGTTAGACAATTCACACTAAGACTTTTAAAGTTGGGTGTCGTGGAAGAAACAATTGTCGGATTCTGAGTAAAGTGGAATTCTTCATCTTAAACTTTAATCTGATAGCGACCTCATTTAGTGAGAAAAGTGTTGAAAACTTTAATCTGATAATTATGTAACTGTAATTATTATTCTTTTGAGATGAGAATATGCTAGACAAATAATAGTGGTAGGGTCGAAGTGAGTTATCCCTCACTTATTAGGATTTGGATTCTCTGCCCTCCTAGTTGTGGTGCTCTTCCATGCCCTTCTATTTTGTGCGGTCACGGTTAAGCTACGTCAATATTTTATATTTTTATTATTTTTTGTTTTATTATCTTATTAAAAAATTAATATAAAATATTGACGTGGCTTAACCGTGACCGTACAAAATAGGAGGGCATGGAAGGGCACCACAACTAGGAGGGCAGACAATCCAAGTCCCACTTATTATAGGTTCATTGTTTGTTTGAACAATCTGCAAAGGTCAAGTTTTTAAAAACCTGCAATCACAATATATAGTTTTAACACGACAAAGACAGAGGGAATTACAGTTTCAAGAATTTATAACAGCAAAACCATTACCCCATGGCAATAACATTGATAAACAGAGATATATCTCTTAATCAAAACGAAAGAATACAGCAACAAAAAATGTTAAAGTTTTTTTCCTTCCTGATCAATACACCTTAAAAATTAAGTGATACAAAGAAAGTGAAAAAGAATAGGCAAAAGTAATGAAAAAAAAAGATATAAACACATTACACCACTCAGTGGATAACCCTCATAACATTGATTAACAAAGATATAATTTTAATATGTTTTTTAACCAAAAGATAAAGAAAACAAATTCAGAAAAACTGCTAAGTTTTTAAGATCCCTGATCATTGCAGTTTAAAAATCAAGTGATTCGTTTCTGCTTTTGCTGTTTAGAGGTCAGTCCCCCGCTGCGCTCTCTCTCTCTCCCCCCTCTGAGAAAATTCACTTACTTCTTCTTTGGGTATTCAAATTTGACCAAAAAGAAAACTGATTTTTTTTTTTCTTTAATTAAGAAAATTGGGTGATTCAGTTCTCCATTTTTGGAAAATTTTGAAGAATCAGGTGCTTGTGGAGAATGTGTGAGTTAATTTTTGAACTTTTTTAAAATACCATATAATTGCAAACTAATTAGGCAAATGGGTCGCTGAAATTCAATGCAAAAATGCTCCGCAGAATTGTTGATTCTAACAAAATTGATAGAACCGAGTGAAAGTTTGTAAGACCCATTTGCAGGAAGGAAACGGGTGCTCTGCAGAAATTGAAAAGATAGAAAATTTGATAGTTCTCATCTGCAACCACACTTACACCCCCTGTCTCTTTCCTCAACCCTTCTTCACCAAATGACGAACCCGACCTCTCTCCCCACAGCCAAGGAGCAACCAAATTCAACTCCAATATAATCAAACTTTAACAAAACTCTAAATCCACCAAAAACAAAAACCCCCAATAATTACATGTTTTTTCTAATGCTACGCATTGAATCAATTGAGAACACAGAAAGAAAACCAATTTTCAGGGTTTCTTTCAAACAAATACAAACTGAGAATCGAAAATTACACGTAGTTGTTATAAAACTTACCCAAGTTCAATATAATTTCTTTGTCAATAATCTGAAGAGGCAGCATGCGATTAGTCACCAATTTCATAAAAAAATTGTCCCAACCTGCAGATCCGCAGCAAAAACAAAAACAAAGACCTTAAATTTATCGGCCTAGAGATAGCAAAATAAGGATAAAACATTGAGAACAAACTAACCTTAAAGTTCTTGCCCCGACGATCGCAAGATGAGAACAAAACGCCGAATAACAAATGATTCAATACCGGGAGAGACTGGAAACTAAGGGCGTGTTTACGTATCCGTAATCGGAATGAGAATGTGGAATTAAATTCTGATTACGGAGTATTCCGGTGTTTACTAAACATGGAGGAATCAAAAAAGCAGTGGACCCACACAAATTTTGGAATTCAATTCCTTGTGTTGGTGGAATTGGATTCCCTAGATATAGGTGGTAATCCAATTCCTTATTGTTTGGGTAATCGGAATGATACTTTTGTTTCCTTTATGCCCTCACTTACTTTTTCTATTTCCAAGACTATCCTTTATAAACCCATTAAAGTATATAAAATATTTGATTTGGGACAAGGGCATTTTAGTAATCATACATGTTTATATTCCGATTCTGCTGAATTAGTAAACAGCTTTATGAAATTCTATTTCGATTCCAGAACATTTAAGTAAACAACTTTAACAAGAATCCGATTCTGACTTCTCCTCATTCCAACTCCTCCTCAATTCAATTTCTCATATTTTCATTACCGTTACGTAAACGCGCCATAAATGCGAAAGAAAAAGAAAGGAATTGAGGGCAAAAGACGGGCTGACGAAGAGGGAGAAAATCGCAAACTAATGAAGGTGAAAAACGAAGAGGAAGGGTAAAAGCGAAAAAGATGCGGTCGAAGCAGAGAAACAAAAGATGAAAGACGTGCGGCTGGGAAGGGCATAGCCGACTTTCCACTGTAGAAAAATGGAACAGTATGCAGAGCAAAGAAGAAATCAAGGGTATTTTCGTCCTTTCACTTGTAATAAACAGTATCAGACAACTGGATTTTAATATATGCATAATTTGGCAGAAAAAATTGGAGGTGAGGTTAACGACGTGATGAGTGCTATAGGAAGATAGGATATAATCAGGATCATTTCCTTCTAATTCATTAAATCAGGAAATTCGTGTCGTTAAAATTTGATCTAACGGTTGAAGTTATTATAATTACAGCCATCTTAACAGTGAATTCAAATCAATGAGCATTACTAATGGATGATTTGAAGTCTCTATGGATGATTTGAAGTCGAGAGTCCTCGTGTAAATAAAGAATTCCCCGTGCAATTCCACTTATAATGTTTACACGTCTGCTCCAATCAAGCTGCGCTCGTTTCTCTGAATCTAAGCATCATTGGAGGAGAATTTACAGACTAAAATATTTCTGACAAGAAAATCTTAGCAATAGTATGAAACAGTTGAAGTTAAATCCCACATACAGAAATTTTTGAGAGATCAAGAGAAAACATACCAAAGAGGAAGACATTTAGGCTGCTGTTTGGCAGGTATTCATAGACAAGCAGTTTTTCCTTTCCCTCAACACAAAAACCCAAAAGCCTAACAAGATTTTTATGTTGAAGTTTCATTAGCAGCCGAACTTCATTTGTGAATTCCTCTGAGCCTTGCTCAGAACAGCTTGAAAGCCTCTTGATCGCCACTTCTTTACCGTCACTCAGTACACCCTGCGAAAAACCAGATTTTAAATCAAACCACAGGAAATACTAACCAAGTGGAAGATAGTAATACAAATATCGATTTAATCTTCGCATATGTGAACTTTTTGTCCATGGTTTGCTCAAGAAACAATTTTCTTTTACTTTATACCTTGTAAACAGGCCCAAAACCACCTTCTCCGAGCTTATTTGAATCAGAAAATTTATCCGTAGCTGCATGTATAGATGCCAAACTGATATAGGGGTACTCCTCAGCTTTCTGGTTTCTGCCTTGAAAACTTCGGTCCGGGAACAATACATGTTGTCTTAAAATCTCACTACTCCCTGAACAGATCGAAAGAAAAGCTGCTTTCAGAAAATATATTACAGTGATGATCAGCTTTAAAGCATTTCCAAACGCATTATTATTACCCTTTTTGTTTCTTTTTCTTATTGCAAGATAGACACAGGAACCCAAAAGTAGTATGGCTAGACATGCTGACACAACCGTAAGGATCGTGATCCTCCATCCTACACCTTCATTGGAAACAACTATGTATTTGCAGTTAATTTTTAACATTGTAGCGTCAAAATAGACATACACCTTAAAAGTACTCACCGTCCCCTTTGTTGTTATTTGGAGAGCTGGAAATAGAAGCTTCAGTTGCACCATTATAGAAGCCATACAACTCGTACCTCAGATAGCAACTCCGGCTCATAAGCCGCGCCAACGGAGAAATAATACTTTCTCAAAACGTCTTCTATGGCGTGCTGAAGGCATTTGTCACAGTCATCTCCAGATAAGTCTCTAGTGCACTGCACAAGAGCATATATCACTTTATCTTCAAATGGTACATCTCCAGTAGCATACATTTTCGCTGAAGCATCATATGCTGCTTGCTTCGCAAACTCCCTCAGCTTCTCCTTTACAGTATTCTCGACCTTTTTTGGGTCTGAAACGTTTTTCTTGTTAGCGGACACAATGTTGTCTGCCACATTCAATTCACCATAGAACTTCACGTCGGAGTAGCGCAGTTGGCACGTTTCCTCCCACACAACTGATTCTGTTGAGTTGGGACAAATCCTAACAATGTCTAAATGCGCGGTGTTGATGCAGTTGTGACATATCTCATTCGTAAAATAATTGAGGCACATATAAAGGCCATAAACTCTATCTGGTTGATTTCCGGCGGAAGTATTGTACAGCTTGGAAACAGAAGCATTTGAAGGCAATGAATTGAGCAGGCTCTGGAGGTTTTTCTGAAACGTACCATTTTCGACATAACCGCGAACATCTGAGCACAACTTGTATGGAGGATCAGGATCAGCATAAGCAAGATCAAAAAGGAGGGTGATGAGAAAACAAAGCAAAAAAAGAGAGATTGTTTTCGGAGCACTAGGGAAATTAACCATGTTTTGATCTCTAATCATAGAAAAAGATTAGGGAAATTTTATATATAGCTCTTAAGTCTTCTCCTTCCTGCTCGAAAAATGGTTAAAAATCTCGGAGGACGAGCACCATTGAATTTTTGTGAATTGATAGGTAGTTTCTTGGAAGACTTGTTTAATTAAATTAGTTAACATCACATCAGTAAAAATTCTAAGAAAACAAAGCCTTCGACTGGCTGTATTTTCCTGGAAATTGTTCACAGTTGGTCATGGTTTTGCCCCTAATTCAGTCAATGCGACGCCACAAGTTGAAAGATATAACTCAAAACTAATAGACAATAGAGACTTCCACGAACCATCAAATAATATAATAGTCACACATGTTTTCTGTGGTTTATTTATTTATATATATATACATGCGAGATTAGCATGTCCGATAGGTCACACAACAAGAATTAAACTTCATTGCCTAGCCTACTCTCCATGTATGCATGCCTGATTTTAAAAAAAAAATCTAGTTGAAATTATGAGTTTCATTTTCATTCAATTCTGTCGTAAACAAAAAAATTAAAAAAAAAACAAACAATAAAAAATTCAGAAAAGTTGGGAACTTACGTTTCAACTTGGTCATCCTAGTTACGATCCATATTAAAGTATATTGAGATTCACAAGTTGAAACTTTAATACGTTCGTATAAAATATATTGAGATTATTAAAGTTTTTAGATGTACATCCCAGTTACTATCCATATTATTTCAGAATTTTGAATGTCAAATTCCATTCGGGTGCACCAAAATTGAAAGTTTTCGTCACCAGTTTGGTCAGAACTGATCAAAATCGAAATTTCCAATGCAACTTGCACTTGTTCTCAATAATCTATTGGCTTGGACTTTCAAGCCCAAAGCCCAACACCTATGTATGTTGGCCCAACGTAAATTTAGGAGACGAAGATGCCCTCCATTACAAAAGCCCTTCCGGTCAAACACGGTGGATTCTGGATACGAAGGTTCAAATACAAACGGGATTTCCCTCCTCGCCGAGTCACTCCTCGGACCTCCGGTCCTCAGTCAATGGCAGTCGCTCTGAGAAGACTTGCAGCGGCATTCGGCTACTCGCCACATCCTCAATGCGTTCAAAGCTTGCTTCCGTTGCGCTTTGGAAATAGATAGAGTTCCCTTGTGTCGTCTGTTTCGTCTGGTATGCCCTGAACGTGCTTGTGAAAATGTCTCTGAGACTACACCTGTTTTGTCACTAACCATTTCTGCACCTGCTCTGTATTTCAAGATGAGAGGGCGATGCTCCGACCGTTCATCCAGAATTCCAACAATGGCATAACGGAGGTGGGTCTTTCCACAAGTTTGCCTGCATCGACCCAACAGTTTTCATAGAGTTTGGTGCTGTTGTTCATTCAAAATCCGTAGTTGGCGAGAGCTGTCATTGGACCTCACTATTGGGCAATCAAGAAAGATTACTTAATTACCTTAATCAACTTGGAATATACAAATAAACAAATAAATAAAGCGATGTGAATCTATGTATTTACACCTGAAGTGAATTTATTGATTATTTTCTTTCTTTTTTTCAGTAATGATACTCTTAATATGTTTTTATACAACAACAATAACAACAAAGCTTTTTCCCACTAAGTGGGGTCGGCTATATGAATCCTAGAACGCCATTGCGATCGGTTTTGTGTCATGTCCTCCGTTAGATCCAAGTACTCTAAGTCTTTTCTTAGGGTCTCTTCCAAAGTTTTCCTAGGTCTTCCTCTACCCCTTCGGCCCTGAACCTCTGTCCCGTGGTCACATCTTCGAACCGGAGCGTCATTAGGCCTTCTTTGCACATGTCCAAACCACCGTAACCGATTTTCTCTCCTCTTTCCTTCAATTTCTGCTACTCCTACTTTACCTCGGATATCCTTATTCCTAATCTTATCCTTTCTCGTGTGCCCCCACATCCAACGAAGCATCCTCATCTCCACTACACCTACGTGTTGATGCTTCACCGCCCAACATTCTATGCCATACAGCATTGCCAGCCTTATTGTCGTCCTATAAAATTTTCCCTTGAGCTTCAGTGGCCTACGACGGTCACACAACACGCCGGATGCACTCTTCCACTTCATCCATCCAGCTTGTATTCTATGGGTGAGATCTCCATCAAATTTTCTGTTCTTTTGCAAGATAGATCCTAGGTAGCGAAAACGGTCGCTCTTTGGTATTTCCTGATCTCCGATCCTCACCCCTAACTCATTTTGGCCTCCGTTTGCACTGAACTTGTACTCCATATATTCTGTCTTTGATCGGCTTAGGCGAGGACCTTTAGATTCCAACACTTCTCTCTAAAGGTTAAGCTTCGCGTTTACCCCTTCCTGCGTTTCATCTATCAACACTATATCGTTTGCGAAAAGCATACACCAAAGAATATCATCTTAAATATTAAGTTTGTGATCTTCGCTAGATTGCTCCGGTCATTAGTGTGGATAAGTATGTAAATGGATAGAGACAGGAAGCAAACACAAGATGTACGTGGTTCACCCAGATTGGCTACGTCCACGGAGTAAAGGAGTTCTCATTTATTGTGAAGGGTTTACACAGTATATAGGTTCAAGCTCTCCTTTAGTGAGTACAAGTGAATGATTTAGTATAAATGACATTAGGAAATATTGTGGAAGAATGATCTCGTAATCACGAAACTTTTAAGTACCGAAGTGTGGTATCGTCTTCACTTGCCTTATCTGTCTCATAGGTAGATGTGGCATCTTCTTTGGGAGTACTCTTCCTCCCTCCAGGGGTGATATCTTTAACTGGTGGAGATGCACAAGGTAATGTATCAATTTCACCTGACGCTTACTTGTAGTTTCAGGCTTGGTCAAGCGCGATAAAAACCATGTAGTAGGAGTCCCCCAAGTCGCCGAGCTAGGGGATCTGCTGAAAGAGGTGACAGACAAGGTAAGCAATCAGAGCTCCAAGCAATCAGTCCCAGATCAAAAGTTTGATTTCGAGTTCCGGCTGATTGTTATCCTTCTCCTTATCTTGCAGGTAGCATGAAGGATATAGAGAAGAAAAGGAGAAAATGTGATATGAGATACTTTTGCTTTTGAAGAAGTAACTTTCCACAGGCTTATTCTTGAACTGGGCTGGAGGGTTTTCTTGTTTCCGTCAGAGTATAAGGCCGACTGAAGAATTTGAGGGTCAAAACAAGTCCATCAAATCTAGAGTACGTTCGACCCTGCTGATATGGGATACTTTTGCTGTTGACAAAGTAGTGGATGTATGGGCACGTGTTCTGTTGCGCTTGTCTCCACATGCTTCCTTGTATCCTTCTCACTTGCCCTATTTGTTCCTCAGGCAGATGTGGTATCTTCTCGGGAAGCATAAGATGTTGAAAATGAGTACTCGAGAGCAATGGGGTTCCAGGCAGTCAGTTCCGGACTGGAAGCTTGATTCCAAATGCTGACTGATTGCTCTCTTTCTCCTTGTCTTGCAGGTAAGAACAAGGCCAAAGGAAAAGACAGGGAAAAAGCATGATATGGGATACTCTTGCTTTTAACCCTGATGATATGAGATATTCTTGCTCTAGTGTAGCTTGTTTGCAGAGGTATTCTCGGGGGGAAAGAAAGCTGAGTATTTCGAGAGGCTTCGTTGGGAGTGCCCTCTCAGATATGAGGAAGGGTTGAGCATTTTTGCAAGTCTGCCTGTCCGTTGAGGATGGAGGTCGACATATATAGGAGTCTCCCTAACAAGGAGTAATATTATTCTTTTACCCTGTTTGGTCATAGCACGGTAGTGGGAGCTGCCAGCTTCACATGTTTTAACTCTGTCAGCGCACTTTGAAAAAGTGGTATGTGGTATCTGGAAAGCTGATGTTATGTGTGAAGATTACAGACAAGCTTTATCCAAGGAGATCTGGCTCTCGAAGTTGGGAAAACGGTGTGAGGATTACAGACAAGCTTTATTTAAGGGGCTCTCGAAGTTGAGAAAGCGGTGCCTCTTCGATTTTCGAACAAGCAATCCTGTTGAGGATCTGTCTCTCGAGATTCAGAGAACGGTGCCTCTTCGATTTTTGAGAAAGCAATCCTGCTAGGAGTCTGGCTCTCAAGATTCGGATAGCAGTGTCTCGTTGTTTTTTGAGAAAGTAATCATGTTGGGAGTCTGGCTCTCGAGATTCGGAGGACGGTGCCTCTTCGATCTTGAAGCAAGCAATCTTGTTGGGAGTGTATTCTCGAATGTGAGTAAAGGTTAGGCCTGTTTGCTAGTCTACCTTGCCACGGAGCACAGAGGTTGACTCACAGGGACTTTCCAATTATCCAGCAATGGTCCTGTTCCTTTACCCTTGTGGGTAATAATATGGTAGCTAGACCTTCAAAATTTATGTGTCTAAACTTTGTTAGTGCTGTTTCTTTGCTATTCTTTTACCCTTCTTGGTCATAGCGATGTAATGGGAGCTGCAAGCTTCACGTGTCTAACTTTGTCAGAGATTTTTGGCAAAGTTATCTGTGGTACCCGTGAGTTGATGTTGCGTGTGGAAAGTGAATGATTAAACAGTAACATTCACGTGCTTTCTACTTCACTAGAAATCTTCGACAGAATGCCCATAATTTCCGTAAAGTTGAGTGTGCATGTGACAGGTGCTGACAAGGCTGAAAAAGCAGGTGCCTCTTCGATTTCTGAGATCGGCCCTCGTGGTCTCTGAGCAGCCCAGCTTTTGAGAAAGCAAGCGCCTCTTCGATTTCTGCCATCGACCTTCGTGGTCTTTGAGCAGCCCAGCTTTTGAGAAAGCAAACGCCTCTTCGATTCCTGAGATCGGCCTCGTGGTCTCTTAGCAGCCCAGCTTTTGAGAAAGCAAACGCCTTTTCGATTTCTGAGCAGGCGCCTCTTCGATTTCTGAAGCTCCATCGAGTGCGGATTTTTATAGAGGCTGGTATTAAGTTCCAAAGCACACTTGAATCTCCACCAGTAGAAGCTCCCTTCTTGCATTTCTAAGATCTTGATTTGTCCGACCTCTTTTCTCTTCAACACCTTTGAAAATGTGTGGCCCCTCCGACCGTCGTTTTGACTTGAACCTTGTTGAAGAGGCAGCCACGCCTTCTCCAGACAACATATGGCGCCCATCTTTCTTATCCCCTACTGGTCCTCTTACCGTTGGGGATTCCGTGATGAAGAATGATATGACCGCTGCGGTGGTGGCCAGGAACCTTCTCACTCCCAAAGATAACAGGCTACTTTCCAAACGGTCTGATGAGTTGGCTGTTAAGGATTCTCTGGCTCTCAGTGTTCAGTGTGCAGGTTCTGTGTCTAATATGGTTCAACGCCTATTTGCTCGAACCCGCCAAGTTGAATCATTGGCGGCTGAAGTGATGAGTCTCAAACAGGAGATTAGAGGGCTCAAGCATGAGAATAAACAGTTGCACCGGCTCGCTCATGACTATGCTACAAACATGAAGAGGAAGCTTGACCAGATGAAGGAATCTGATGGTCAGATTTTACATTGATCATCAGAGGTTTGTGGGTTTGTTCCAAAGGCATTTATTGCCTTCGTCTTCTGGGGCTGTACCGCGTAATGAAGCTCCAAATGATCAACCTCCGATGCCTCATCCTTCTAGGGTGCTGTCCAGTACTGAGGCTCCGAATGATCCCTCTCCGGTGCCTTCTCTTTCTGGGGCTCTACCGACTGCTGAGACTTCTCCTAAGCAACCTTTGTGAAAGGCTCCCTCTTGTTTGTTTATTTTGACTCGTGTATATGTACATATTTGTAACTTCTTAGAGATATCAATAAATAAGCTTTGTTTCATTTCAACGTATTGTGTTAAATACATCCAAAGCCTTCTTCACTAAGTTCTTTGAATTTTTTTCTTTTGTTGAAGCTTGTATGTTAAAGCTTTGTGAGTGGAGCATGTAGGTTGAGCTAGTGTTCCCTTAATTTCCCGAGTGAGGAAAACTTCTCGATTGGAGACTTGAAAAATCCAAGTCACTGAGTCGGGTCGGCTATATGAATCTTAGAACGCCATTGTGCTCGATCCTTGTGTCATGTCCTCCGTTAGATCCAAGTACTCTAAGTCTTTTCTTAGAGTCTCTTCAAAAGTTTTCTTAGGTCTTCCTCTACCCCTTCGGCCCTGAACCTCTGTCCCGTAGTCGCATCTTCTAACCGGAGCGTCAGTAGGCCTTCTTTGCACATGTCCAAACCACCGTAACCGATTTTCTCTCAGTTTTCCTTCAATTTCGGCTACTCCTACTTTACCTCGGATATCCTCATTCCTAATCTTATCCTTTCTCGTGTGCCCACACATCCAACGAAGCATCCTCATCTCCGCTACACCCATTTTGTGTACGTGTTGGTGCTTTACCGCCCAACATTCTGTGCTATACAGCATCGCCGGCCTTATTGCCGTCCTATAAAATTTTCCCTTAAGCTTCAGTGGCATACGACGATCACACAACACGCCGGATGCACTCTTCTACTTCATCCATCCAGCTTGTATTCTATGGTTGAGATCTCCATCTAATTCTCCGTTCTTTTGCAAGATAGATCCTAGGTAGCGAAAACGGTC